CGCGACCAACACCGCCCTCCCCCGCCCCTGCGCCCCTCTCACCACGCCAAACGGCCACAACCCTTCAAGAGAGCCCCGGCCGGCGATCCCCCTCCCAGGCAGGGGCGGCAGTGCGGCGGCATGGCGGACGCCAAGGACTGCGTGTGCGCCGTGCCCAAGCTGTTCCTCGGCCAGATGCCGCCGGACGTGTCCAAGGACGACGTCCTGGCGCTGTTCAAGGGCTACGGCACGATCGTGCGGGTGGACATGCTGGCCACGCGCGACGGGCGGCACCGCGGCTGCGCCATGGTGTGGTTTCAGCGGTGGGGCGACGCTGAGCGGGCGCTGGAGGGCGAGGCGGGGGGCCTGCCCTTCGGGGGATCCAAGAGCCTGGTGGTGAAGTTCGCGGACCCGCCGCGGCGCGGGGAGAACCAGACCGGCGTGAAGGCCAAGAAGCTGTTCGTGGGGCAGGTGGGGAGGGTGGGGCGGGGGGAAGGGCGGAGATGGTGGCCGAGCCGCGAGCGCTGTTTTTGATTTGGTTTGATTTGGATGATTTGGAACGTCGGAGGGGAATCGGCGGGCAAGGGGGGGCAAAGCGGGGCGGGGAAACGTCGCGGAGGTGGCGGAAAGCACGTGGGCCCTGCGGGGAGGAGGAGAGGAAGGGGGCCGGTGATGTGGGTGGAGAGGAAGGGGATGGTGGGATTTGGAGGAGCGGAAAGTCGGGGGGGTTCGCGGCGCGGAGGCGGCGGGATCACCTCTTGGCCCGCCGCTTCCGCTCCTGGGTGGACGCGGCTGTGGTGAGGGAAAGGGGGGGGGGCCGGTCGTCCGGTGCTGGCAGCGGGAGCCTTTAGCATTTTTAATTTTTTCCTTGCGACGCCGTTGCTTTCCCACGCTGCTAACCTGTCGCGGTTGTGCTTGGTGATGTGCGCCGTTTGCCTGTGGGATGGGGCACGCTGCGCGGATATGGAATCGACCTTTGCTTTTTGATTCGCAGCCCTGCGCCGGTGGTGTTGCCCTGTTGTTTCTCACGATACTTGCCTGTGACGTGGACGTGCCACCGCTGCCCTGTGGTGTAGTTGTTCGGCCGTCGACAACGCAATTTTCTGTCATTTTTGTTCACCTACCTGTCACCTGTGTGCCACACGCTTGGAAGGTGTACTTTTTTGCCCTGTCTTGCCTGTGAGGTTGTTAGCTGGTTTTGTCTGTTACAGGTTCCCAGAGATGCTACTGAATCTGATGTGAGGGCACTGTTTGAGCCTTTTGGTGAAATTGTGGATTTTCAAATGCCTCGCAGAAAAATGGTTGCAGGTGATTTTTCTGTGCACCTCATTTTCCCTTGCTGCATGACCATATTTGGTCCTCATTAATTTTGTCAGATACATGACTGTCTTCGTGGGCATGGTTGGTTTCATCTGTGGGGTGGTGGTTCTGTTGGATTTGCAACACCAGTCATGCCTCTGTTCCACTCCTTGCCTGTGGCACCCCTGGGAGTTTCCTTCCTGTTGGCGTATGCAGTTCTGCACTGTGCATAGTTCATGATTCAGTGCCCCATGTGTCCATTGAAGCCATACACGCAGTGTTCGATTGTTCCCAGGCTCCCTTCTTGTGCAGTTGTGCAGTTTCAGAGTTGGCTGCGTGGCAATGGAGGCCTGGTTCATAGTGCATGCATGGATATGGGGTGCCACCATCTGTTGCCATGAACTGTGGCACAAGATTGCATGCAGTGAAACATGATAATGGGCAGCAGTGTCATGTGTGAATTCAATGCATCCATATTTGTTTCTGCCTGCAGGCTGTGCTTTTGTCAAATTTGCCAAATGGGCTCAGGCTGAGATGGCCATGGAAGCCCTGGATGGTCAAAACAGGTTTCCCAACTCCACCCGCCCCCTTGTCGTCAAGTTCGCTGATGCCAAACCCCAGCAGGAGCAGTCGAACGTTGGTGACAAGCGCAGGCTTCCTGAGGAAGGCATGGGAAAACTTGCGAAAAGGAGCATCCAGCGTGGAATGGAGGTGCCCATGGGTATGGGCATGCCGATGGGCATTGCTGGTGGACTTGCCCAGGGCTCAATGGGCCGAATGCCAGAAATGGACGTGGGAATGGGCTCTGGGATGGGCTCAATGTCTGCCATTGCTAACACTATGACAATGGGCCAGATGGGGGCACTTGTTGGGAGGAATGTAGGCATGGGGAAAGGCGTGCTTGACGATGTTAATCCCATGGGGATGGGGCCATTGGATATGGCGACAGGAATGGGCAGCTCACGAGACGCCAGCATGTCTTCAGGATCATACCTTCAGGTAGGAGCACAGGGGGGTTGTGTTCAATTCTTGTTGCAAAGCATATGTCCAGAAAACCTATGTGCATCTCCTTGCTTGCTGTCTTGGACTACATTTATCACAAGGACTTGACGCAATACATTGCCCTTGAAGGCATGGAAGGCAATGTCGGGGTCTGCTCCAGGAACAGTGTTTGCCACGCTGTTGATACTGTTTCCACTTACACCCTCACTTACACGGCGTTGCGGGGGTATTTGAAGCCAATCTGTCCACATACAAGCCACGTCCCTGGCAGCAGCAGTGGCTGGCAGTGACAGAGAGAAGTGGCCCATTCAGTGTCAGAAATCTTTATTGCCAATTCGCCTGCACGCAATGTGGTACGGGCAATTTGTTCCACCCTAGTGTCCAGTTTCAATGCTTTGCAGCTCTGTGTTTCCCAGCAATTGCAGCTGAGCGACCATTAATACCAACGGCAATAGGAGGTCATCTTTTGCCCACAGTCAGTGGAAGATAATGGTAACTTGAGTGTTCAATTTCCACAAAGCTCCCACAGTGAGCGCCATCCTGGTTACCATTTCCTCTGTTGAGACACCACGCAAATGGTGCAATGGTAGCATGCTTGCCTGAATTCGTCGTGGTGTGCCCAAGCGGTGTTCTGTGTGGGGTTGACAGTTTGATTGCATTGGTCGCATTCAGGAACAGTACGGCATGCCTGGCAATGGGTGCCGAGGCGTGTCGTCATCCCTTGTGGGAATGAAGGGCAGGCTTGGCTTCTCTGAAAGCTCAAACGTGTTAAACAGCAGCTCGCTGAATGGGGCCCAAGTTGGCGTGGGGTTCATGGATCGGCCCAACTACAGAGCCTCGGTAGGTGCCACTTCTCTGGCAAGCATGATACCTGGCATCAGCAACGATGACGGTGGCCAGGCCAATGGTCTGAGTGCAGGCGAGGCAGCAGAGGATCTGGGCAACAACGGCTTCACCAACCTGTCTGCTGGTGACGTAATGTGCATGAATGCAGGTATGGGGGCCTTGAGGATGATGGGGAATGCCAACATGGGGTCTCAAGTGGCGTTCATGGGCGGGATGGGCGGCATGGGGATGGGCATGGGCGCCGTGAAGCAGGACCTGGGGAGCATGGGAATGACCAATGGGCAGCATGCCCGGACTGCGCCATCCCAAGCGGGGCGCCAAGCCCCGGTGGTTAATCGCAACCAGAGCCTGGGCCCCGGCATTGACGACGTCGCAGCAGAGCAGTGGAAGCTGTTCGTTGGCCAGATATCGAAGGAGGCAGACGAGTACGACCTGTGGGGCGTCTTCTCGCCCATCGGCGCCATACTGGAGCTGAAAATCTTGCGGAAGAAGGGCCAGTCCTGCGGCTGTGGGTTCGTGACGTACGCGTCGCAGGATCTAGCGGAGGAGGCAATCGTCAGGCTAAACGGCCAGTGCATTCCGTGGGACCCGGACCAGCGCAAGCTGGTGGTTCAGTACAGGGCGAAGTGATGCCGATTGGGCAGCTGCACATCCCCGTGCTGCCGGCTCTGCTGGTCATAGGCTGCTCAGCCGAGGTCCAAGGCCCCAAGGATGAGAGCATGGCGTCCACGTCTTGAGGGAACGCACGAAGAGCGCCTACTTGGGACCGTGACTGGCAAAACGAACGAACACATGTCTTGCGCACTGAACGTAGGCACGCGCACACAAGCAACGCACACGATAGACGGCTCGCTGTAAATGTGATGCCCATATATTGATGCCCATGTAACACATCAGTTTCTCAAGACGTGTTACAGCATCTCCGGATGCATATACGCCACATATATGTATGTTTTTTTTTGTTTTCTTTCAGCCTCTATGTGGCTGGGTCTGCTGGAGATTGGACAACAGACGCCACAACTGTGGTGCCCATTTTGGATTCACCTACTGCTGTCCAATTCGTACAATGCCGGCCTATTGCAGACAGTGGCACGGCCGTGTGAATATTTGTGCGTATACACAAGCGGGCACAGGTGGCTGTCAGCGCGCCTGAATTTGCGACTGCCCAAAATCTTATTTGAAGGTCCTGACGGCAATCGGCATGGGATCTTGCACTCAACTGGACAGCCCCGGTTGCGCTTCTTGCGTGATCAGTGATAGCGTAGACGCCCACCAGTGATCAAAACTCGATTACGAATCGTTCCGCATTGACCAGTCAGCCCAGTGGCCGCTCCCCGACAGTGTTGCAGTCTCCCAGAACATGCGCTGCTTGTGGCGACCCATCATGGGCCACCCGCGCACTGGGGCAACCAGTGCCAAAAAATTTGCACGCACAATACAATGCGAAAAGAATTGCGACGCGGGCGATCGGGCCACCCCCACTTGCAGGGACCACGAACCTGTTCCACATCTACGGGTGTCCTTCCCAGTTGACTGGGACCGTTATTCTGTCATCAGTCCTCTCATTGGGACCGGGCACGTGCGCATTGCCGCGGGCATGCTGAGGCATTCCCTTTCCGCACGTCATCACTGCTGGACAAGGCACCGATGAGGGCCTTGCTCTTTCACGTGCACCACCCACGGCAACCAACACACAGGTTGCCTCCGTCGGGCGGAGCCGCGCACACACAGGCAACCGCGACATCAAGGCCCCCAAGCGAGCGGCGGCCCTCGGGCCCTTCTCAATTGAGCACGTCCGAGGTGGCGCCCGCCTTGGCGGCGACCTTCATGAACACTTCCTCCAGCGTTGCGTTCGTGACCGCCCAGTCCAGCACCTGGTTCACGGTTTCCACAGGACGTCAGCAAGCCGCTGGCATGGCACATCACGCCACGGTTTTGCGTGATGGTCCTGCCGCTCGAGGCCAGGGCGCCCAGGCAGCGAGCGGGGAGACGCACAAGCAGGGGACAGACATTCGGCGGCTGATTTCGAAGCGCACATAATTGCCACGTGCAGGTGCATGGGCATCGCTTCGCCCTGAGGAAGACTTCCTACATATGGTGTCATAACAACAACAAGCATGTCGCCGTCCGCGCCATACCCGCAATGTTTCGCCCTGAAGAAGCAATTGGTTCAAAAGGAATGCTGCGCAAGCAGAGAAACAGACTGGCCATGGCACCGGCCAAGGGGACCGTAGTCTGAATCACCATGGCTGACATCCCCCAGGGGTAAGCCCGGTGGTTTCCCGAATTCTGGCACGTGCGTTCAGCGCGCGTTCTTCGCTATACCTTAATTTGAGATTTGGCATTTTCCACGAAGGTGAAGACATCGCTCGGCTTGGTGCTGGCTGTTGGAACCTCGTATATGAGGGTTCCTCCAACCTCGTACGTTAGCTGAGCATTTGCAGCTAAGTGCTGAAAAACAAGTCCCTTCATCGCTTCGTTGTCGTCGGGAACGGTGGTGATGGTGAATATCTGCAGTCCACACAGTCAGCTCATGCACCACGGACACCGTGGCAATCCTGAGAAGGACGGAAGGAACTTCAGGGCGGTGAGTCTATGCAAAGGTCATTCACGCGTCTCAGCACAAAACTACTGTGGGCACAGCACTTTCTAAACCATGTGGACGTGCAGAGGTCTGCTCGACATGGGAACAAAACTGGCGAGAGAAAAACTGGGTATCGGCAGGCAGTGGGCAGTGATGTCGCGTTCAGTGCTGGCAGCCCGAAGAGCAACTGATGCTACAGCTGAGGCAGCAGGAGCACATACAACATACAAAACGGTAGTACAGTGATTATTTGTGCACGCATTACAACGCCTCAACAGGTGATTGGGCAATGACTGGCCTGTCCAAGGCTCGTGCGATCGAGGCGGGTTCACGAGCACATGCAGCAGGCATTCCATGGGGCTCCCAGGGCAGGTTCACGAGCACATGCTGCAGGCATTCCATGGGACTCCCAGGGCAGTTTTACCAAGTAGTCCCCATAACGAGACGTCAGCTGCTGGGGCTTGCCGATGACCATCAAGCTCCCGTTGACGAAGATCCCAAGCCGGTCGCACAGCACCCCGGCTTCCTGCATGCTGTGCGTCGTCAGAATGATGGCCTTGTTCTTCTTCGCCTGCTTCACGGCATCCCACAGGTTTCGACGTGATGCAGGATCCAGCCCCTGTGCAACGTCAGTCTCAAAACTCGAGCGAATCATTTTGTCCATTTGGTCGTACCTGGGACTGTCGTTGGCACTTCGTCAGGGCTTTAATGTTCGATTCAGTCATTCTGATAAACCTGGGCAGCCATCAGGGTTGGCGCCAGGGCGGTGTTCTCACTCTTCAAGTCAGCTTGGCGCTAAGCCCAGAGCTTCCTCACACAACCAATCACCCCCTCAAATATGACTTTACGTGCATTGACAACTGTACATACGGGCCTCCAGAGTGCATGTTTCCTGCTCTTCGTGGTGCTGCTGTTGTGTGCTCCTCTGGTTGCACTGGAGGCTACACATCAGCTCTTCACACTACGGTGTAGAGTCCTACATACGCCTGCTTAGGTGGGGGGACCCCCACCCCCCTTCCTCCCTTGGCCTTAGTCGTCGTGTCGATGCCATGTCGCGATGGATGGGGATAGATGGGATACCTATTCTTGGTGACCTACCACCAGTGGGTCCCCCAGGCACTCCTGGTCGGTCACCCATGTCAGTGGGCGACACCGATCGACAACACGACACGACGGTATGCTGCACGAACAGTGTGGGCTCTGGAAATTCCACCAGAATGCAGGCACCTTCCTTTCCGTTTGTGGATACCAGCTGCAAATGGAAGACGAGACAAAATAGGGGCTATTTGCGCTTCTCCCTGCGTGTATGTCAACGCTCCAACAATTACGCAGTTTTCCAATGTGATGGGCCTGCACGCTTCACTCCCCCAGTGTCAAGTTGACTTTGAGCATGCTGAAATCACCCTAGTGGCACCCCAAAAAGAAATATTGGTTGACTGCTTTATGACTGTGAACGTCAGTCGAGTGAAAATGCCAACAGATGGCTCGCCGATCCATCCACATCTGTATAATCATTTGAGTTCACAATGCCCCGTCGCTGGTAATCCTCAAAAAGTGTCAAGAATTACTGCTCGAAAAGTGCCACAGCATTTCTGCAGTGAACGCCCCAGCTGCCGTGGACATCTCACGGGGATTGTCTGGGGCACGTGCTGCAATAGTCGGCACCCAAACGTATTGTGGTACCCGAGTCGTATACCTTTGTTCAATGTTTGTCATTGGCAAGCACAGAAGAAAATTAGACTTTAAAATTAGATTTTACAGAAAAAAACGTTAACACCGCTTTGCTCGAGTCAAGGAGGAGGCTGACACCCACCTCTTTGCCTGGCTATATTTCACGGTCATGATAATATTACACGTGTCGAATATAGGATGCAGATGACCGCTGTCCACGTCAAATAGGGATGATCGCGCATGCAACCACGCGCGCGACCCAGTGATGAGGTCACCAAGCCGCTGTTCGCTGCACCAAGAGCACTGCACTTGACAAAACGTTGAGCAGTCGCGGCCGGCCACCCACCGTGCTGGGTTCGTCAAGGTACACCACTTTGGGATCGCCAATGAGGGAGATCGCGACGCTGAGGCGACGCTTCATGCCTCCGCTGTACGTCTGCACGAGCCTGTCTCCATCGCCGGAAAATAGGTGTACAGAGTTCAGTGCATTCGCGACGGCTTTCTTCAAGGCAGGCCCGCTCAGGCCCTTCAGGCGGCCGTAAAACAAGAGGTGCTCTGCGCCTGTGGCACGGCAGCATGGAAGCGTCACATGTGAAAGCGGCTTGGAGTCCACCGTTCCGTACGTACTGCTTTTTGACACACACAACAATGTCGGCACCGTGCGAGCGCTGGTGCCGTACCAGCAATAGTCCAATGACTGCGAGCCATGTAGTCGACATGACTACGAGCAATTAAACATCACACCAACACATGCACAGACAGTATTTAATTTAAAGGGCGCAATTCTGCGCCACTGAGCGCAGTGGGGACATGCAGGCATCGCAGCCGAGGGCATGATGTTCTTGTGCCATTCACTGGCCTTGTGTCTACCGCGTGAAATGGCGATCTGATGGGTACCACGACGCCTGCGAATGCAACGTGCTGCATTAATATGGACCGAGGAAAGGGCGGTCGCTGGCGAGAAGAATACAGTCGCTTTCCTAGCAAGCTCGGATGGTCAACTGCCAAACAGTTGTGGTAGAGAGGCGATGTGGACTTGCATCAGCCAGGCGAACTGGCCCAGAACGTCAACGAGCAGTTGCGTGCCGGGATCTGCATGGACACATTGGCACATGGACCACGCTGGATGTACCAGCGAACAAGTCTCAGTATAGAGAGTCGACAGGTCGCTGTATCGAGTGCCCACTATTGTAGTAAAGTTCTGTCAGTCGTGGTGATGTGCTCGCGGAAACAAGCACAATCGGAAGTCAACGCAGCGCTCGCGAGAGAACAACTTCAGTTTGGAGTAACGTGCTTGAGCAAACAGAAGACCACAGCTGTTGAGATACGCCTATCATGTGCAATGTTCCCTCTTCTTCCTCGCCTGCGTGTCCGTCGCAGCGAGGTTAGCCCTGCCCACCTGTGAGCGTATCCCACAACAGATTGTGCTGGGGACATACCCCCATTCTGTCATAGATCAAGTCCATGGACTCGGTGATGTCCAGGCCATCTATGAGAGCAGATCCTGACGTCGGCTCCATGAAACCCACCAACATGTTAATGGCAGTTGTTTTCCCTGCACCATTTGGACCCAGCAAGCCAACAACCTCCCCTCTGCGCACTGCCATGTACAGATCTTTGACAGCCACCTAGCAAGAACAAGACACCTCATGAGCTGCAGGCTGGCAAAGCACGATAGACAATCGTCAACAGCCCTCAAAGGCCAGCACCGAGAGCCCTTGTGACACAAATCCCAAGTTATCTACGTCATCTACCTTCCCACTTATCATCCTTTCAGGACAAAATTCCTGGGACACCATTTCTTATGTCCTTCCACATATGCTTTCGAAAAGGCATCACGGCTGGTGGATGCAACTCTCAAAACAATGAAATAATACACTGTGGCAGGATGGTTTCGTGGTACAACGGCACTCACGAAAAAACGCTGAACTACATTTTGGGTGCCGCCCAGTCCGAAGAAGGTCACTCTACCAGCATGCATGGCTTCAGACGACGGGACAATGAATCACTGGAATTCAAAAACAAATCCACTTGACACAGCATTTTGGCATTACTCATGCCCAGTGATGCTCACTTTTGGAGGATTTCCCTCTGCAGAGGGAAACACCTTTCGTAACCCACGGATAATAATGGCATTCTCGTCATCACCAACAAATGGGATACTCTCCACTCTCCTGCGTTCTGCAGCAACATCTTCCTCTTCTTCGTCGACACCCATTTCAACAACAGTAGGTTTTGCATCACTGATCAGTGCTGTCTCCTGGAGCTCCAACCCTCTGGGGTCATCATGTTTCTGGGCCAAATCGACGCATAGATGTCAGTACTATACCGTGCGGAGTAGTCTTGGTACACATAAATGAGTTGTTGCCACAAGTAGCAGCAAATGTAAATGACCGAAATCGCAGCATCTTCTGTCCTCCTAGGCCCTGCTGCTTAGGTCTGGCAGCAACAGCACAAGCTTTGCCAGAACCCCGTTCGCACCGGTACCTCCATCACCATCCTCTTCCCCAATCTATGCACATTGAACAGAGATTGTTGTAGAGAATCTGACTGCCAAAATGCTGATACTGCACCAACTACACAATCCACAAACACTGCTGCGAAACTGCCTAGGTGTACCTTTCTCACGCCCAAGAGAAGATGACACAGTCAAACCAGCATTCAACTGGGTTGGCTAAGGCTTGCAGCAGTTGGTGGGAACCGTGGCGTGAGGCATGCAAGGTCCACACACCACTTGCAGTTTGAAAGCATTCTGAAAGACTAACTTGGAAAAAATTGCCACAGCTGCCATCTTTGAGCCTGCACTAAGTCAAGATTATTCTATTATACATCGCTATATGTTCTATTCGGTATTGTCAACTGCAAATCAGCAGCTTTGCAGTACTCTCACGTTCTTAAATCCTTTGCTCTTCTGTTTGCGGAGACGATCCAAGAAGTACAAAGGGTGTCGATGGACGCCTGTGCCAGTTGAATATATCTGCACCAAAAATCCAGCCATTAGACAGAGCCATTCTATCTGTCATTATTCTGACTGGAAGAGTGTAAACATGTCAAGGTGAATGCTGTCCACTGCATCGTGTTTCTATTCGCACATGAAGTCACAACTGTCTTCAAAAAACAGGTATGGCTCCACAGGCCGCTACCAATGACATCAGACAACCATGATCCTCATGACCTGCGATCAAACAGGACGAACAGGAATGCCAGTAGGCCGATCACAAAGGGAAACACAATTTCGAACTTACAATTCATAATCCAATCAAACAGAATCCCCACCCAATGAATGTCCACAGAGACAAACAATACTCACATAAAAGGTCCCAGCTACGCTTCCACTGGGTATCTATTGTGCACTGACTCACCTGCTCAATGTACCAGGCAGCAATCATGAATAGCGGCCACTCAGCAACGAACAAAATCATCACGAAATCCATGTCGTTGTTATCATCAGTGAAGGAACTCCAAGACAAGCCATCTGAATTACGGAAGGCTGCACGGAAACTGTGCTGGCCCAACTCATACCATCCCCTGAACGAATGCAACCATGCAAAATGAGCCTCAGGGAATCCTCTGGTGAGATTTTCAGTGTGCAATGAGGTGCACAGCATTTGACAGCGTAACAACATCTTCCAACGGTCACCTCTAGAAAAATACTACCTGTGGTATGCATGAAGTAGTCTGCATCGCCTTGCCGCAGGTGACACCTTTTCTCTAAACACCCATGCACAAGACATAAATACATGCAATTACAGCCAGTTCGCATCAGACTCGTGTTAGCAGCTTGTGCCAGGCTGCCTGGCGTTACTTTTGCATGTCAATCTTGCCATGCTTACAAACTTGGATACTCGGCAAGTATCGGGTGCTTCACATTCACAGTAGCGTAAAAGTATATTGATTCATCGACAATACAACAAAGGACCATATGATAGCTTCGATCATGGGCTCTGGTGCGTGGTGGGAACACAGTGGCTTGTTGGTGCTGGACAATCTTCTTGCGCGTTGAGACGCCCAGTGTCGATATCACCCTACCTGTAAGCTCCAAATGCTGGGATCAGCTGGATGAGTTTAACATAAAAGACATCCCTTTCTATCAGCCGCACCAGCAGCACGTTGCCCAATAAGCCAGTGCCAAAGACCCACAAAAACGAGAAAACCATCGCAGTCAGGGTCGTTTGGAAGAAGCTGCTGAGAAGGAAAGAAAAGGCGATTTGAACATTCCCAAACAAGAAGTAGAAAAGAAGTTGGACACCTGAACACATCAAAAACCAATCAGGAATTTAAGAATGAAGTTAGAAACGCAATTTTTTCTTTAGGAAAGCACCACGAAATTCTCAATGTCAGGAACAAGGCCAAGACCAAGACTATTGCTCAGGAGACATGCACAAGCTGCTGCTCAATTGTTTACATCGCTTCTGTCCTGAAAAAAGATCTAAACGTACACATTGACTGGTTTCAAGCTGTTGTTTAATTGTATGCGGCATGACTGTTGAATCCCAACAATTCTGTGAACGACTGAACAGCATGTTATTAGACTCGATCTGACACCGACACCAAGCTCTGTGTAACTTCCCCCTATTCTGTGTCAGGTTCAGAAAGAATCCACCATGGCAGCAGATAGATCACCGCATGCAAGAATGCCCAGGACTGTTCCACCATCAGACACTATTGCTGGTCTGCAAAAGGAATGAAAGAATTTAACCTCATCAGCAGCAAGATCAGTGCAGGCTGGAATTTTGGGGAATGTTCCACAATTGGACACTCGCTGGCCTTTGAGAAGGGACCCAGGTCCGTGCCACACTCACCATAGTCATTCAATCGGAAAATGGCGAGGTCCACTGCAGATCCTACAGCAACAAATATGCCAATGTACACAATGTACAGAAGGAGGTAGTATGCATAGTTCACGATCCAGTATGCAGCATCTCCAAGACCGTGCATTTTCATTATGATGCGCAGCCGATTCGCCTTTTCATACACCAGTTGCACAAGCCTGTAGCAACAACATTGACAGTCAGCTCTCAAACATCATGGGCTGTTTTCTCTGCAGCACAAATGCATTCGTAGGAACTGGTGTGATACTGTAAGCAGATCTTTTCTGCACCTCCACAAGTGCACCTCGAATTCATTGCACACCCCTGCTATCCAAACGTGCAATCCAGGGTGAAAGTGACGCGCAGTGCAGGTGCGTGAGAAGCAGAAACCTTCAATATGTTCACAACCACGAAACATTACTGTGGCTCACATGGTGCGACATAATGAGCCACAACGACACAGGATTGTTGTCGAAATCCACTCTGGTTCAATCACTGTGAACGCTGTCAGGATGGCGGTTGGCCACTCCATCATAGTTTCATAGTTTGGTACAGTTTTCTTGATAAGAAAACACTGTCCATGACGCTGTCCATGACGCTGTCCATGACACTGTCCACGACGCTGTCCATGGCACTGTCCACGAAACTCTCCATGGCACTGTCCACGACACTGTCCATGGCACTGTCCACGACACTGTCCATGGCACTGTCCACGACACTATTCATGACACATGATATTGTGATGAGCCGTGCTTTCCTTCAGGAACACATGTTCCAGCACAGGATCATTGCCTCATGGGCGACATGTCTACTCAGTTCATTGCTGTTCACAACAACACATGCCATGCTGTTTGCATGCATTGGCAACTTACATGAGTGGCAGGAAGAGCTGAATTACCCAGGTAAACAAAAGAACCGACAGAAACGAGGCCAAATCCAGCCTCAACTTGGTTTCTTGCAAAGGAAACTCCACGAGTGCCAGCAGCTGGGATGAATATGAACCTGTGCATTAACAGCAGGGTTATGTCTCAAGTATGCAGCTCCCAGAAAGAAATACACAAACATGTTTGTGTTATGTACAGGGGCCTATATTTGAAATTGCGAGGGGTGGTGGGGCAAATGAACAAAACCAGTGAGGTGCAAAACTAGAATGTCTGAAGGACCCAAAACTCATGCAAATACACAAAAGGTGGCTGCATTGAAAACGTCGAGGCCCCATACAACAGTGCATCCTCCTTATCCAACTGCCCCATGCCACATCAGGTAGTGGCACGTTCGGAGTTAAGATGTGTGGTGGCCCACCATCCAAGGCAGCTTTCACCCATGAATTCGATGCCAGGTTCATCGGCAGATTAACACGCTGGATGTCTGGCAGCCCATCATTTCCTGCAATAGTGTCTGTGTCTTTGTACCATATGTCCACTTCCAGGCCAGAGACGTTGTCTGAGGCCTGCAAGACAAATGTGGACAGTATCAGTACTGGAAAGCATCATCCCATACCCAGTCTCCTACTCATAGCCTGGTTGAAATCCCTGTCTGGAGAAACGATGCAACAGCTGTCTGGAACAGGGTTCTTGGGCCCCAATCATGCATCACCACAGTATTTATCTGGAGCAACCGAAGAATGATATCCCACTTTAAAATCCCAGGCGTTGCTGTACTCAGCCACGGCGTCAGTGTCCTGAAGCAGACGCCTCCTGTTCACCCTCTCATTGAACTCGACAGATGCATTGCACTTGGCCTGCAAAATAGTACATCAATGCCCTGAGCATTGTCCAAGCAGTTGTAGGTGAGTAGGTGTCCTACTCAGTAGTTCCTCTTTCCGTCAATAGACAACCAAAATTCAGTGCAGCAACCCCACTCCCACAGCAACCCCAGACAGCATCTTCCCTCAGACTCTGCACTGCTTCAGCCAATTCAAATCGCTGACCAAAACGACATAATCTGTTTCCGCAAAGGCGATGCTCCGATGTGCAATCTTTGTTTGTGACAGCACTGAGCACAGAAACGGCACTGGTCCATGGCTACCATGAAGTCAAGCAATGAAGGCACATGCTTTTGATTCTCTGAAATGAACAAAGTTTTTGTTACTAGCCACAGTACTCAAGTGTGCTCAATTCCACTTGTACTTGATTATGGTCAACAGTGGCAGGAGACACAGCATAGATCGCAGGCACGTCCCACATAAATTAGGCTGGTCGATACAAATGGCTAAATTCTCGGAATCAAAGGCTCCACAACAGCATGCAAGAGGTGGAGTTTCTCAAGCTTTGCCAACCCAACTGCTTCAACAGAAGGAGAGCCAAGGCTCTGCATGCAGAGAAGCTGCACAAATTTCCTACCTCGTCAAAGCTGCAGAAAAAATGCCTGTTGATGCGTTCTACATCACTGAGGACAAATAGAGTGTTCACGCAAGAGTTTATGAACTCGTCAGCCCCACCGCCAAAGGAGCTCAACAGTGGGAAATCGGACACGGCACCACTGACAACAGCATCGATGCCACTGGTGTCTGGAACCACACTGCAGTTCTGGTTAAGGACGAACAAATTGGAGTCTGGGTCCTGCAAAATGCATATGATTGGGAACATCAGCCCATTGACTTGCAGTCATTGCGATGCACATGAAAGTCGTTGCATAATCTCTTGCAGTATGGAACACAGTTAAAAGCTGTCACTCAGGGGCACACCATGTGCATGGCACACCAATCTGCTAGACTAATAGGAGCTCTTAGATTCTCACATAGCCCAGAGTGCGGATCGTCATAAAGACTGTGGATCCAGCAAGCCCTATTGGTTACACTATAATCAGGACAACACAACGATAAAAGTCACAATCTTGGGGCTGATAAAGCACTCCGATAAGCCAGAATCCATCAAGAACAAGCCAGAACGTCACCACTTGGGCTACCAGGGTTCTGTGAGAGTTATCAACGTTGGTCCACTCTGGCCTTTGGTTTCCACCAACATATCTGGCACCTGTCAAGGGAGTGGGATGCACAGGTTGGGGACACACTACTGGGACCCAAGAATGCGACTTCCCCCCTTTTGGCTTTTCGTTTCTTGGTGGCTGGTGAGCCATTCCGCCACGTTTTTCATACTCTTTCCAGGCCTTTCTGGACATGCACTGGGGCTCCTTTGGATTAGGTTGGTGGCCACCATGAACACAGTGTGGAAGCGGGCACTTGTGCATCAGTGCTGGGAAAGGTAAAAAACAAGCTTTCCGTTGGATGCTGGTGCTCTCGTCATTCACCCAGCTAGGTGCAAGGCATTTTGGTCCTGCTGTTGATCGAATGCAATCAATTCCATTTGCAGGCACAAGAAGAGTAAGACTACCATATTTGTGAGCTTTAATTTGCTTCAGTAAGGCATGCAGGATAATATCAACTGGCAAGATAGGAAGTGGAGCGCACCTGGAGTGGGCATACTTGATGGAGTGCAACTTGAAATTGCACAACAAATGATTACATGAGCACAGACAATATCTGAACACTTGCTTTCAGAAACATGGCCAAACTCACATTTCTTGGAACGAACGCAGGGTCCACTTGATGGCTGGGAGAAGACTCCGAGCTTGCGCCAAAGGCAAAACCTAGTTCTGTCAAAACTTCCCCACGAAAAGTGTCCTGTTCGCAGAACACACCAGCAACGAAGTTCAGGGCAAGCCCCTGGCCTTTGTGGGCAATGACTTTCACAAAACAACACCAGATCCGTAATTGCACTGGAGAACCAGGTTTACATATGAATCTTGCACAGATGTGGAAAGACACTACAGCACAGAATGCAAAATGAATGGCATCCCAAACCCTGCTTGCTGCCAATGCCACATGGCTTGCCGCCAATGCCACAAAACAAAGGTAGCTTTAGCATCTCTTTGTAACCAGCAGCTCTGCACAGCAGAAGGCCATGCACACAATTTTTGCAAACAAACAGCCGTCCCCTGCCAACCATGGAGTTCACTCCACTAGAATCGAATGCGCGTGCAGCACTCCCATGCAGCGAATCCCTTGGCTCATTCCTCTGCACAGTGACCCCCAAATTCCCTGGCAATTCCCACCTGTTCCACAGTCATCTGTGCAAATTTGCTGCTTGCGAAGTTGGTGGAAACAGAGCCTGAGAACATGAAGCTGGCAATGGCGTTTGCAAGTCCTGTGTCCTGACCAGTGTGGAACATTACTGCATCTGGGGCCCATGGCTCTGCTCGTATAAACTCATTAGGGGTCTGGGCAGAACACAGCAAACATCACAGCTCAAAAATCTGGAAAACACACCACCCCAACAGCACATTACTATCAAATACAGATATCCTATGCTGTGCATCTAAAGAGCCGTGCACAGGAATACCATGCAAGCTCAATGTGCAAGCCAAGAGCAAGCTGTACAACAGCAGTCCATGTCACCATTTCAGGAACACGTTGCAGACATTTCCAGGGAACCAGCCTGTTCTAGAATGACAGGACATTCATGCGGAGCCACATATCTTTCGTTGCATGCGACCAATCTTCTGCCAAAATACATGAATTCTCTCTGTGCATCGCAGATTTCAGAATTTGCACAAATATCTCAGCACTGCACACCAAAGCTGGGGCCCCACCTGCATGACAGGGGGCCAGCTCAATGGATGTGGTATGCTGCAGAACGGAGCTTGCTCAGTGGTGGAATATTGCAGTCCACACATTTTTTCTTTGCAAAACTCTATATCTGTGCATCCAAACCCCTCCGATTCAATACGGCAGTCTGTTGTGTTCACCCTGTCGCAACAGTTGCACCTGCAGCCACACTAAACCCAGAAGGAATAGTCGCTCAGGCAATGCACCCGATCATGCCCCGGTCAACAGGAGCAGTACACATCATCATGCAACGGGGACAGGGTGCATCATCCTCCATAGTATCGACAAGATTGTCACGATTTTCTTCATTAGACTGGGGTGCACATTGTATGACATTTTCTTGCTCAACAGACAATGTTCAGGAACAAAAGGCAATATGCTCAAGCATACCATTCTTTTGCCAGCACAGGGCAAGAGACAGCAACCACCAAGCTTGAGAGCACAGCCATGTTTAGGGCAGCATCCAAACTCCTGGGACTCCCACCCACATTCACTGGAACAGTTGATAAACAAAATTTATCATGCACTGATACCATGCGTTTCTATCAATGAAAACAAACATATTCTCAACAAAGAGCAACGGAACTTGTTAACTTAGGCTCCACAGCTGCAAGGCTGCGTCCACGGATAGAGCTCCCCATAGTGAACAACACATTCTCTGACACAATGCTGCATCTCAAGCACCCTGAGCTGAAAGCAAAAAACAGCAGGAAGTTTCTTGGCACTGCCATTGCCAAGTTTGTTTGAAATAGTTTGAAATACAACAAATTGTAATCTGCCATACCCTTGTGTCCTCAGAGTCCACTAAGTCGTCAAAAACCTTTTGAAGGCCAGCCAGCAAGCCAACGAACACCAATGGAAGGAGAACGATGCAGATGTTGAGGCAACATCGGCGCTTCTGGTAGACAGCATTTTTCCGAAGCAATGCAGCGCTCTGCTGCTTGAGGGTTGCTGTTCCATGCTGCAAAAAAGCAGCACAGCCATCAGAATTGATGGAACCACTCCCCTTCGTTCCTTCCTTGAAAACTGAAGCACAGAAACTGGCATTGTTGGTTGTTGGTTGTCTGTCTCGATTTCAATTGTCAACACATGACAACACTGTCCCTGCAAGGCGTTGACAGCTGGTTTTCACCTCTACACAAAGTTCGTACACAGAGCTTTCATGATTTCTGTTCAAATTTGAACAATGTAAAGTACCAACTGTTGGTACAACACACAAGGTTTGTGTCGCAGCACAGTGTCGGAGCGAGAGTGGAGCTGAGACAAGAGAACCTGTTACTGGCACACAAGTTGCCAAGGGTTCTCCGCACTGGATTGATGGTCACTTACCATGCTGACTGTAGGCCCGATCTCATGCAGCAAACTCTTGGACAAACCCTGCGAGATTACACACATGTGCAAAATAAGCGCCGGACTTGGGGAAAAGCAACAATCGCCACCCCTGTGGTCGCTTACTTCTGTAAGCATCGACCGGAGGCACAAGCGCTAAAAGTGACGACAACATGCCTAAGGGAACGTTGACAGCCACTACGCGGCGGGCAACGAAGCGAGTCTTCGTGCGGTGCACAAAGGCCCAGAATCGCGGGGCGCTGCCCTCCGCGGCAAAAGATGAACCCTCACGACCGTAGGGCCCCCCCCTCCCCCCCCCCCTTCTGGACTGAACTGCTGGACAAATTTCGATTTCGGCCCGTTTCTCAATCAAACGGTACTTCATCCACCGTTTGATCCGGCAAAGCACTTTTGTGCAGCAAGGATGAGATGGCTGTGAAGTCCTTATGATTGCTAGTTCGGAGCATAGACGGCAGGCCCTTGGCATGCGGTCGTTCGCAGCCCGTTGTGCCGATCTACCGCACGCGAAGCATGCGACAGGTCCCCATGTGCTGCGTTAGTCTCGAGCACTACTCATTCTGGTGCATTTCAACGCGCAGGCTGCCAAGGAGGGAAAGAACACTGGGGTAGGCAAACACAGCCACCTTCTTGCTGCAAGAGGAACACCCACAGCAAAAGAGTCGACCAGGGGGAGTGTGTGCGCATACTGCACACACATGCTCTTTGCAGAGTTCCTGTGGACGATGTTTTTGTTCGCAGGTGGCGCAATTGCAGCCGGCGGGCAGCGGCTGCTGCGAAACAGCAGAAGTTAACCGCCAGGGAAGGGGCAGCGATCAATGAGTACCGCAACTGGGAGGCATTGGCGGCTACACAAGCGCGCGCACAAGTCACCTGTGGGGTGCGCGTCCCAGCGTGCGCCCGCGGCCGGCGGGTGTGCAGCAACGCCGGCAGCGTCTCACTGGTTTCCTGCTTTGTTCTGGTGGCTGCAGTTGCGGGCCAAAGGGGGCGCCCTGAGGTGTTCGCTGGCGCGGGGAGTTCTGTCATGCGAGTGTGCTGTTACGACAACAGGAGTCATTGCTGCAGTAGGCAGGCAGCTGGAAGCTGGGCTGGCGGAAGCGGAAGTTCGTGAGATTTCCTGATATACTGAAGTCGTCGTATTGCGTGCTCATCGTTTGGTGGAGGTAATGCAAGCCATGGTTGTTGCTGAAGTGAAGCCCAGACAGTGGACAACTGTGTCAATTTCAACGGCTCGGACTTTAGAGATCGAGCTTGGCCGCGTACGTGGCTGCCCGCCCTGGTGCTTGGCTGTCGGAACGTCAGCGGAGGTTTGAAGTGGTGGACAATCGCCATGTGCCCTGAGTGCGGTATCCTTGCAGTTAGGGATTACAAATCCGACGACGGAAGTGTCCGGGACGCTTGGCCGGCAGAAGCGAGTTGAGGTTAGAGCTTCTGCGCACCAAGGAATGGCCGTTCCTGCACACAAGGTGAGCGCCCCGTTGCTCATTGACGATCACCCGATTTGGCACAACGCCAACATTTGGCCCACTGGTGGACCACGTCGCTGTAAGCAGGCCAGTTACGCTCCGCACTGGTTTAAATAACGTGAAAGCGCTTGAGTTTCGTTGACATTATTAGATTATACTTCAGACTGCAAGGCAAGCTCCCACCATGCACTCCTTTGCCTTGTTCCATGTTGCAGGACATCGGCACAATAACACCCAGAAACGTCCCGCTCATCAGCTTGTTTCAACCCAATGCTCTTATTGCCTGGCTATCCAATTCCCACGGACAGCACTGGAAATAAACGGCCTCCTCGCAGTCGCTTCTTCTGAACGAATTCCTTAATTGCTGGCACTCCCAGTCACAAAACCATTGTTACCCAGGTTTTGCAAAACATTGGCAGCAAAACCACAGGATGAATTCATGGTAGACCAAAAACCCCCCTCACCCCCACCCCCCTTCTCCAGGCTAAGCAGCGCAGCCTGTAGCACTTGGAACCTGACCACGGCATGATCCTTCACAAACCAAAAGAAGGGTTGTAAAGTGCACAGTCGACTCGACTGTAATCAAGCTCCGGTGCAGGCCAAGAGTTGACTTTGGCAAGGACGAATAAAGATGAAACAGATATGAGGGCAGGAGAAGGTCATAGAACAACAGCGATTGATCAAAGACCCGCTAAAGACACAACCTTCGCCTGGGAGCTCCTGAGCTATGTGGTGGGCATCTCAATCCATTGATGCATCCACATTCCCTGCTCCTCAACTTATTGCAGTTATCCCCACTGTTTATTCAAACAGCGAGGGCAATCTCATGAACCTCCGCCCACACTTTGGTAAGGAAACCAATCTACCAAGGTGGGCAATACACTCCCCAAACAGGGGATGTCAAATTGACCAGCGTGTTGGGTCTCGTTTGTTGCAGAAGCTGCAGCCATCCCTTTGCTGCGCATAGTGAAGTCCTTGTATCGATGCTGAATCCCGCTCTTGAAGGCAGCTCCAGCAGCCCAATAGAGGACCGAAGAGAAGCCCAAAACAATCCCCTTGTCACTTCAGTGCAAAACCAAGACACGCAATAAATACCAAGACATCAAAAATGAAGGTGCACATCATGGAGCCTTTTGCAGATGATGACACCCTTCAAAGTGCCCCCAATTCTCTGGGAACTCATCTGTTTCCTGTAGTTGTGCGCATTATTCCCTGGGCCCTTGCACACCAAGTCGAATCCCATTTGCTCTGTGCATTTCTGTTGCTTGATGTTTATGTGCGGAGGCCATTCCTCTCGCAGCGTCTGTAGATGGTTGGTGGCAGAATCCTACTATCTAACTGTCGATGACAGCCATCAGACCCACAGTCCTTGAGGTCTTGGACATCTTGGGGTTTGCCAGGTTCCTGGCCTCGTCAGCGACCTTTTTCAGCCCAACAAACGTATCCCAGACCGCCATCCTGAAGCCTGGGCAATAGTAATCGAGCCCCAGCTCAACGCACACTGGCTCCAGCATGGCCTGCACCTTTCTGAGGTTGTGCCTTGGGACGCGAGGGAACAGGTGGTGCTCCACCTGAAACTGCAGCCCCCCATGGAACCAGTCCATCCAAGCAGGGCACCTCCAGTTCATGGTCGATGCCAGCTGGGAACACATCCAGTCATCGTCGCGAGGCAAGCCTTGGAAGGTGTGCCGGGAGAAGTGGCTTATGCAGATCTGGGCCAGGAGGCACATTTACACACAAGCAAGTATGAGACATCCAAACAGAGACTGTCAGCCTCTGTTGGGTAAAAGAGCGGCGAATTGTCTTGTGTTGACAGACCCAATGTGCTCCTCAGTGCCCCAGAGTGTTTGAGACCAAAGGTCTTGTGGGTCGGGGCAAGGCCCAACTGAGGCATACATAGGACGGGTGGAAAATGGGGCAAGTTTCACTCCATAGCACTGGAAATGCCCACAGGATGGCCCTAATTTCCTGTTCAGAATATAGGCAGCACAGCCCTACCTGAAGGTGCAGGATGGATACGATGGAATGGGACAACATAACAAACATCACACGCTCAGGCCACGTCGGAACCAGCATAGCAAGTGAAAGGTACCTGTGCAGCAAACACAACGTGCAGAATATCGGCATACAACTTCAGGCAACCTCAAATCATCTCCTGAAGCAAAAATGGCTAAAACGATCATCGGCACTGCACGCCTGATGAAAGCCACAGTAGGAGATATTCTACAAGGCTGTAAATCTTATGCATGTGCACAGGCTAGCATTTTGCACTGATTTCACTGGCTGGCGTCCATTCTGTTCATTGTCCGCAGCCCCAGTGAGTGTTCCAGGGGAGGTAGTCTGCTTGCGACAGCCTCCTGGACACATATGGCAAGTCCCCCAAGGAGCAGGTATCCACAGCAACAGAAACACCAAATTATCCTCACTTACCAGCACATGAAAAAGATCATTACAAAGTACTCCTTGATCTTGTGGATAAACACTGTGCCACCTGTCATGAAATGCCTTATGGCATGGATGTACATGCCTGAATCGTACACCACAGTAAGGCAGGATCAGAGCAGGGTCCTGGGTTGTGGAGGCTTGCGTTGTGAGGGATCCACAGCCAAGAAAGAGACATCTGCCAACACCGTTTGAATTTGGAAGAGCCAGGGTGTGTCAGGGTGTTATCTGAACACAGTGGTCATCCCTAGGTGCATCTCCACATGGAGGGAACACTGTGCCATTCGAGTGTAATTTTGCCTCCAGGTCATCCCCACCTGCAGCAAGCCACAGCCTGCAGCTGCCAGACATCCGTTTGAACCTAGACACAGCCAAGGAAAGAACTCCAGACTGCATATGTTCCCACCGATTGTTGCAGTGCCAGCCAAGGAGATCAATTCCATCCAGTGACCAATGCTGCACCTCTTCCCAACCCTGTCCACTCACCGAACTTGGCAACCAGCAGAAGAGGGAAGAACGTCAGGTGCTGGTAGGGCACCAGATACTTTGCTGGGCCGTCAAACACGAGGTCAAAATCATGGTACTCGGAGTGTGTGGTCTGTAGGTAGTTGTGCGAAGGCGCCAACAGAGGCAGGTGCTGCACATACATAACCTGGCCGTCAAGCAATCTGGCAACATGGGAGCTCCACCCCTGGGTGCAAGACGTTCTGTGCAGAAATGGCTCACCCTGTGTGGGTATTGGCTCCCTCACTGTGCCCAGGCCTCCACAGGCAAGCATTGGGGACAGTGTCACTGGCATAGGCAGCTGTCGATGCCCTGCTGAAAGCAACAAACATGGCATTTTCCTCACTGCAGATTGCAACACAGGGTCTCCCTTGAGTTTGTTCTATTTTCCACTTTGTTACCCGCTTCCCAATGCCATCAGGTTGAAGCACTGTCCGTTCATGATTTTCAATGGTTGTGATCGTTCACTCAATATTGCTGACAGTTCAGAGGCATGATCTGCATGTCAGCACTCGATCCAAAACGAGAAATCATACACAGTCTAGAGACTCTATACCTGTATGTCCGGGTCACAGTCAGTGCTGTTGACCAGTATGTGGTGGATGTTGTGGCTGGACTTCCACCAGCTCATTCCCACACCAATGAAGGCGTTGACCACCAGTGCAATGTTGCCATCAGTCTTGCGATTGTGTGTGATCGAATTGTGCCCAGCATCGTGGCCAACGAACGAAGCCTGAGTCAGCAGCATACCAGCTTCAGCGCTGGGATCCTTCAACTGAGCGGTTTAGAGGAGCATTGTACACATTCCCAACTTAACGTGGACATGAACGGCAGTGTGGTACTCTGCAAGAACGTGAGTCGAGATGTAGTTTATCGTGAACATGTAAACGTCTGCTCGTCGAGTATACAGGCCATTGGCTTGACGGAGCTTCGATTCGAAGCGGTGCTCAATAGGAGACGAATAGCTGTCCGTTAAGGCCCACCCTAGCAAATCATGACACCGTTTGACATATTCTGTCCTGGCCCTTGCGGAAGGCAGAATTCAACAGGAGCGGGGAGACAGAATCTCCCTCAGCAGCGTCTCTGTTGGCTAAGAATCAACCACAGCACCAAGTATGTGCTGCATCCCTTGTCACGACCACAGCCTCAATTGCGATGGGCACTTCACGTTCATTTCTGGAAGTGCAGGCCAGACACAGATTTCACAGCTTCGTGTGGTACACTTGGCTGGTGTTTGACGCACTTGGGCGTGTGGCCCTGCGCTGTAAAGGGGGCCTCCGCTGGGGATCCGCGTGACAACAGCCGCGTGTAGTAATGATTTGCCATGGTATTACGATGCACAGAGCCACACAAAGCTTCGAGGTACAAAGCGCCGCTCACGCGCCGCTCGTGAGATCGACGAGGTTCTGCCCCTGGAATGTCCAAGGTGGTCACACCAGCCCCTGAAACTCCTGTAGTGATGGAACTCTGCTGGTGTGAAGTTGGTGACATGCTGTTAGGCAGGCGCCCTTTATCGGCAGCGCACCGCGCGCGGCGGCCCCAGCGCGCAGACCGTTCGCCGTCGCAGCACGCGGGACCCAAAATGGCGGCGCTCAGGGGTGCCACGCTCATCCTGAAACCCAACTGCCGCGCCCGCCACGCTCTGGACGTTCGCAGCGCCCCGCATTCGCGAACAGGACAGCAGCGGCGACCGCCTGATTTCAGCGGCCGCAGACTCTCGTCGAACACGCGGGGCGCAAAGGTATCCGGATCAGGCTGGCGCGACGACCTGCCCAGCGCCTTGTATCGTCCAGTCGGGGCCACGGATCCAATACAACACGACGATCGCCAGATCAGGTTCGATCCACCAGGAAACCCCCAAGGCGGCCTCACTTTCCCCAGGGGCGACCAAACCGCCGCCCCCGGGCTTCCGGCCCCCTGCCAACCGCCCCCCCCCCCTCCCCGCCCGCGCCCCCGATACTCTTGCCCCGACCTCCACCCACCTGCTGCCAGAATATGCCGATTGTCACGGCCCCCAGCACCCACCTCCCGGACAGCACCAGCCCCCAGGCCAGCGCGAACAGGAACGAGAGCCACGCGCCCGTGCGCACGTAGAACCCGTAGTCCGTCTCCAGCAGGCCGGCGCTCTTGATCTCCGCGAACAGCTTGGTGTACATCACGGTGGGCCCCGGCAGCGTGCCGCGCCGCGAGGACTCCATCCGCCCCACCTCGAATCGCTTCATCGTCTTGGCCACCCAGTCGGGGTGGTACGCCTGGAAGGGCTCCGTCACGTCGCGACCGCCAGATCGCTCGAAGACCATTTTTCCGCCGGGGTGGTCGTCGCCGAAGTCGCTGACATCGTAGGCCACGCCGGCCACCGCGATCCACAGGTCGCCGGGCTGGCTGTGGCGAGAGAGCTCCTCCCAGGACACCGTGCGGGAAGGCATCCTGTGGGGTGTGGGCGGGGAGGGCCGGGAGGGCGGGGGGAACCGGAGGGGCGAGGAATGGGTGAATCGGCTGATATGGCCTCCGGCGCACGCTGGGCGTGACCTGTCGTCACGGCTGGGGTCGGTCCTAGGGTGACCACCGATTTGGGAGGGGGGGCCCTCAACTTTTTGGGTCCTAGAGTAGCTGTCTTTTCCCAAAAGGTCCCTTCGGGGACGCTCACCGCCACTGAGGCGTCCAATCCAGCGAAGAAAGGGGGCGACGTGATGATGCTTGGAGTTCGTGGGCAGATGCTTTGGTGCCTGGAACTGGGTGGTGGATGCTGGACACTTTCTGGCACACCGCCCCTGCGCCCTGCGATATATGACCATCAGCCACATTCGGGGTTGCACGTGTTCCCACGCAGTGCTGATCAGGCACCAGTTCACCCTGTGCTTCAATGTTGAAGTTCAGTGCATGTTCAACATGTTCTCAAGCTTGAGTGGTGGAAAATTTGCAATGGCTCAAAGCGAGCAGGCTCCTGACAAGTGTTGTTGTAATTGCGCCACCCCATTTCACCGATGGATTGGATTGGATTGGACCGGGTTGGATTTCCAGATGGATGCATCATTCAATTCATGCATACACAGCACACCTTCCAAAAGAAAAGGAGCCATGGTCGGCAGAACAAGATCCAAACCAAGATGGCTTGGGCCTGTGTGCAATAAAACAAGTGTTGAATTGCAAGTCCATACTATGTGTGAAGTCTGAAGAGATGCAAGTCGGACTTTAAGTTGGCAACGAAAGCATTGCATTTCACAGAATCAAAACGCCTCCACTCGTTGCAGCTCACATGAGTGCAACAGATCTTGGAATGCCTGGTTCTTGAAGGAAATGCTGTTGATGCGATTCAAACGGCTCCTTTTGGAGTGCACACGGGAAGAGCGAATCCACGATCGCCGATGCTTCAACGGCGTTGGCACACAGCCAGACGCAAGGCCACACCACACACACAACGCCCAGAGCTTACATATTTGTTCACCCTTTCCACAGCAAAGAGCCTTGCCGACGGTGGCAACCACCCCCCGCAGCCGAACAGTTCGAATTTTTTTGTACCCACAGAACTTTCCTTTTCATGTGGCAAGGACCATCATCCATCATCAACCAGCCATACCACATTTCAGAGATGCCCATTCATCACCACAGTGCAACCCACTTCATAAAACATATGTCAAAGGTGCCCATACACTCCGTGGTAATGTACAAATATGTACAAGTGGCACACCATAATGCATTAGTGATCCACCCAGTGAAACGGTTGTCATTATGCGGTGTTGCGAACATGGTGCCATTTCACGAACACAGTTGAGCCATGAGCAACTTGTGTGCAGTGTGAATGGTGCACATGGAGCTCGAAGGCACATCGACGTGCTTGGTCCAAGAAAACAGTGAGAACGCAACCAGTCTTACACAGCCAAGCCAAGAGAAGCCCCAGACAGACTCGGGAGCTGTTGAAATACCCCCATCGTTGCCAATCTAAAGGAAGACACAGTTTTGAATTTGGCTCGCTTATCGTCAACGTGATGTTAGGCTCAGGGCCCCCCCCACCCCCACCCTTGTCAAACCTTACTTCGATTCCAGGATGACTCAGCAACAGTACCTAGCAATGCCATGCCAGACGATTTCAACATTGCGCAGCGCCCGGATATCCGGCCTTGTCGCCAAAAAAAATATTCACCCCTTCCGCCTGGGCTACGTACAGCGACTGAGCCAAATAGAGGCAGGCGCCGACCTGGTCCCTGTCCCCGCAGTACGCCTGGGGTCCGTGTCTACGAGCCCGACAGTCATTACTCATGCCCCATCAACCGCTGTCCCAAGCCTGTCAGCCGGGGTGGTGCGCAGCGCTCACCGCGACTTGGCCGCCCATCAGGGCGGTCAGCGGCCGCGTCCCACGGCTCTGCCGCCCGGCACTTACTCCCACCCTACTCCCCTTGATGCCCCGTCCGCACCGCACCGCCTCAAGGGCCCTAGGTATGCGCCGGGGGGCCCCGGGGCGCCAAACATGCAGCGGCGCAGCCCCGCGCTGGGGCTCGTGCTCCTGGCGCTGGGCGTCCTGGGGATCGCCGGCGCGCCGACGGAGATAGTGGATGGCTCGCGGGAGGGCGCCAGCCTCGACTTCGGCCAGCGGAAGGTGTACACCTTCGTGGTGCCTCGCCGATCCGGTGGCTACCCCACCGTGGAGGTCGTCCTGTCCCAGGTCAGCAAGAACGGCCAGGCGGACGTGTTCTGCAGGACGGGGGATGCCGGGAAGGGGGGGAAGAACGCGCCGGGACCGGGGAACTTCATGTGGCGGACCAACTTCACGACGGGCGGGGACACGATTGAGCTGAAGCCGGAGGCCGTGGGGGACCACGCGGAGACCATGGAGGTGGAGGACCCGGTTTATGTGTGCGCGGTGGTGGCGGTGGGGGACCCGGATTTCCGGACGGAATTCGAACTGGAGCTGGCGCTGGAGTACGCCACGCCGTCGCTGGCGGAGGAGGAGAGGGCGATCATGCGGGAGGTGTACCAGGCGTGCTGCCGGCAGGGAGGCGACTGCGAGAAGTGGCCGCGCCTGCAGTCGCACTTCCCCACGGTCGCATTCGCCGACGACGACGGTGACCAGGGGGAGGGCGTCGAGCTGGATGGAGTGGTGAGTCGGGCGCCGCGCCGATGATTCATGGAACCCCATCGGCCTCCTTGGCGGCCGTCCCAGAGGGGGGCCGCAGCGCGTGCACTCGACCGGCAGTGGCCGGCTTGGGCTTGCTGAGACTTATCACTTGCAGGCTCGCAGGGCTCATTGTGTGGGTTGGTCGTCATGTGCGACAGGTGCTGGACTTCTGCCATGTGCGCGGCTGTGAGTGCAACACCGAGGGCCGCCTCAGGGTCCTGGACCTGGACTTCTACGGTCTCAAGTGCCCCTTTCCCAGCCAGTTCGGCCTGCTGGACGGGCTAGCGGAGCTGCACCTGTCAAGCAACATCCTCGGGGGGGACATCCAGGAGGCCCTGGCCTCGCTGTCCGGCCTGCGACGCCTACAGAACCTGACGCTGAGGAAGAACAGCATGCAGGGCAGGCTGGACGGGGGCGAGCACTTCGAGCAGGAGGCCAACGCGTTCTGCAGGATGGCGTCCAGGCTGCAGCAGCTTGACCTGGAGGAGAACGTCATCGAGGGCTCCCTGCCGGCCTGCACCTTCAGCGGCACCCTCGGGCACTTCACCATCTCGAGCAACCTCCTGACGGGCACCCTGCCGCCGGTGGCCGACACCGACCTGTCGATGGAGGTGCTGAGTGCCGGCAACAACCAGCTGACGGGCCCCATCCCGGAGTCCTTCGGCAACCTGAGCAAGCTGCAGCACATCGACCTGTCCAACAACGTGCTCACGGGGGAAGTGCCGCCATCGCTGGTGGCCCTGCCCGACTTGGTTTTCCTGCTGCTGGCTAGCAACGAACTGAGTGGCAAGATTCCTGATAACGTCGCCGATTCGGATAGCCTGCAGGTGATCCGCCTGAATGACAACCAGTTCAACGTCATGCCTGACCGCTGGTTGCACAGCCAGGGATCGAAACAGCTCTCCATTCTTGACATTTCCCACAATCAACTTGCAGGTGAGTTCTACTGGACAACTGGGGTTGCTTTTGTGTTTCACCTGTTGCCAAACTTACATTGAGGAGTCTTGTTGGAGCAGCTTCGCTAGTCCAGGGGATGGCCTCAAGCTGTCTGCCTGACCTATAGCACTGTTGTGTTCTTTCCTTGTGCAGCCAGGAATGCGCAAATCATCTTTTTTGTGCAGGAGGGAGGGGATGTGAAACAACTGGCCTATCTTTGTGTGACCGATTTTTGGCATTTCTTGGTGCTTGTTAGGCCTGATGTGGCACTGGTCTTTCCTGCAGACCAACGGAACCCACTGACCTTTATTATTGCAGCATTGCAAATTTGTTATTGTCTGCCCACATTTCTTGCAGGCACATTTCCCTTGGGGTTAAGCCGAAGCCCCAATCTGTCAACACTGTCCCTCCAAGATAACAACCTTTACGGAGCACTGCCACCAGTGGAAGGCCTCTTCCCTAAGGCCGTGAGGCTCGAGTTCCATCAGAATCATTTTGAGGGTCCCATTCCTGAGGAGTGGAGCTCCCTTGGAATGTTCGAGGGGGCCCTGGACCAAGATGCGCTTCCCTTGATACCCATTCTGGATCTCTCAGACAATATGCTCACTGGTGATTTTCCAGAGTTCCTGGATCCACGGAGTGCTGACTTTCCAAGCAGGCTGCGAGTGTACCTGGGGGGCAATGAACTCAGCTGTGGAGACCGCTTCGATGATGAGGTTGGCCTGGGGGAATTCAACACAAAAATTTTCGGTGTCAAGTGTGCAGAACCTGTTACTCTGGGAGGTGCTCATGCAAACAGCAAAATGGCCAAGATAGCATCCACCTGTGCTGCCATTGGTCTCCCGGTCATGGCTGCTGCCACGATTTTTTTCATGTTCTTTGTCAAGGGAACGAGGCAGCCTGCTCCAGCGATGCAGGATGGTGGGGATATGCAGAACCCTGGCGAGTGTGAGTATGGCAAGGAATGGGGCAGTCCTCCTGTCCCAGGGAAGTTATCTGGTAGATCAACAATCAGAACTGAACACTATTCCTCGGCGCGCTCATCGCAGCCAACATACATGGGCTAGGTTTGAATAAGACAGTCCATTTGCCACGTGTGCAAGTGGCATTGAAGCCCGCAGCTGTATGCACCATTGCCCTCCTGGTACCCTCTGTGGCTGGGTCAAACCCCAAGGGCTCCCATTTTTCTGTATCAGTTGTGGGTACTGTCTGCCAGTGGACAGCAGTGAATGCGAGGGGGCAAGAGCATGGCCTGCTGTAGCTCTATGCTTGGTGGGCAGCGTGTGTGTACAGTGGCGCAATGGCGGGTCAGCGCTATCATGTGGCACGTACTGAACTATAGGGGTGGCACTTGAGAATTGATAAGGGTGCATTGTCGCACTGCTTGCTCCCTTGAAGAAAATGTGCCTTGGCCCGTAGTATACAGAATGTGGCGAAGGAGATGGGAGGCGTTGGATTTCTAGTTTTGCAGATCAGGAACATTAGGGGCTTGTTGTAAGGCTCTCTGCGTTGCTCTGAACGTGAGCCCCGCTCAGCGCCGCCCCTGGAGTGAATCAGAGGAACAAAGGAACATCTTGGTTGCAACGAGCCTGCTCGTCTTCAGCGTGTTGTAATAGAGTTGGAGCTAGGCAAGGGGCTTGTGCCGCTTTGTGCATCCGAATTCATGCCGATTGTGGCAAGCGTGGAATAATGGCTGAGCTTCTGCCAAGAAGCTGGATGTTTGAGCTTGTGCCATGAACTTAACTCATGGGAATCCTGGTTTGAGAGTGACGTTGTATTATGGAGAGTTCTGTGAATGACTCGTGTTGGCACTCTGACAATATGACTTGCGTGGATTCCTAGGTTGCCCTATGAAGAGGCATGCGCAGCAGGACGCCTGGTCCAACGGAGACAGAAAATGCAGGACCGGCCAAGTCCATTCTGATTCTGAATCTCTCAACGCACCGTGCAATTGGTGCCCCCAGCAGTTCCCGAATGAAAATTGTCAAGGCAATGCCGCAAACGAGCCCAGTCGGCTATGCACCATCCTTCGAAAGATGCCCATGGACAGCACCCACAAAACCGTGGGCATCCTGCGGATGTCGATGCCGGTATGCCAGCCCCTCTCAAAGCGTACTGGAAAGGCAACGAGCGGCCCCTGCCTGTCGATGCATTTGGTCGATGGTACACACTAACACAATGAAACTGTTCCACACGCCCCTGCGATGCCTAGTGGGACAGGGCAAGACCCATTTCATGTCCCTTAATACGTCGTGAAGCATTGAAACGCCCGCTGCCTGCACAGCAGGTGTTCTGATCGGGCGCTAAAGTCCGTCGATGACAGGCGCCAGTCAGTGCTCAACCTTCGCGTCGTCAAAACTGCCAACGGCGTCTTCATCCATCCCTCTCTCAAGTGGATGGGTCTCATCACCGCTATAAAAGTCTTGGTCATGTGGAGACGCGGCCATCACGGTGGGCAGGGCATCCGAGTCCCCGCTAAAGTCTGCATCAATGTCGTCAAAGGCGCCCGACTTTTGGGCCGCTCGCACAGCTTGCTGAAGGTCTCCAGACGCATTGGCAGCATCTTGTGCCGCCCTTTCCGCTCGGAGCAGCGCGTCCAGAACCTCCATTGCGGCTTCTCTTCGATCCTGCAATTCGTCCTCCTCTGTACAGAAACACTCTGTTCAGCGGAACATACCCAGGAAGGACCATCACATCTCTTGCGCACAAACTTATGCTACAACAGCAGTGTTGTAGTGCCACAGGCAGGAGCAACACAATTTTCTCTGACGCGGTATCTCGTGACTGCGTGTGCGTCCACACTGCGGACACCATACATTTCCCGAAGTGGTCTATTCCGAAGCGGTCAATTGAGCTGGCCTACTCCTCGTAAGGATGGACGATCTTGGCATGCTGAACCGTGTCCACACCGTTCTTAGCTGATTCCATACAGAAGCAACCTCCCAGTATAATGCACTGTAGGTTTTTCTCCGTGTGCCAACAGTACAGTGACAGCACGATTACTCCAATGCAGAGTTCTTACTAAGCGCATGTTCAGAATCAATCCTTGCCTCACTTAAGAGAACTAAGGGCTGAGGTGACGGTAGATGGCAATGTCGACACAGAAAGAGGTCGAATGTGGTGTTGTGTCCCGTTGCTGTCATGGCTTCGTTGCTCTGTTAACATGGGGCTGCAGTGAAAATATGTAGATGTTCTTGCTTACTTTGGTGAGACCCCGAGGGGCACGCTGGTGTCTACGGCGTTGCCTGTTTGGGGCACATGCATCAACCATTCATTGGTACACTGTATTCACATATAGCAGCAGATACCTTGCCCTCAAGAGCCTCGAGCACAAGTAGGTGAGTACTGAAAGGCATGAGCTTCAGAGCGTCGCCTCATAATGCAAGGGACGATGCAGTTGTTTACTTAATGAAGAACGCCAGTACGGATCGGTAATAGGAGTCAGAGGTGCAGAGACGCCCAAGGAATGCAGGTCAAACTCCACTCATGCAGCACATTGAGAGACCTCCACAATCAACCCTGTTGTACGTCTAGCATTATGGCGGGACTGTCCTTGATGTGTCGAATTCCTGAGGGATGTGGGGGGATAGGAGCATCGACAGCCAGCCGTTCCACGATCCACACAAATGCAAGGTTCCTGGAGTTCAGAAACATTGATATCTTCGTCGCAGCGTTGGGCGCAAATACTGAATCTGCACCACGGCCGTGCAGTTGATGCGTTCAAACGACAGGCACATCTTAGGCAATGTCCATTTCCCGGTCGCCAATTCCTGGCCATCAAGGGGCGTTCAGCTGATAGTGCTATGGCCATATTGACGCACACTAATCACTTTATCAATTAGTGAGTTGATTTTGGTTTGTGATGGCAGGGGAAAGCACTTTACTTTTTGAGACAATGGATGGACTGTCGATTTAATAGCGCAGTGCCACCCCAGGCCAACTAACCTTGGAGTGTGTCTTCAGCAGCAGTGTCCTCAAGCTCTTCAGATTCTGTTGTGGTCGATGCCACAGGCTGTAGGTCGACGACATCTGACAACCTTTCTGCAGCCTTTTCCAGAGAAGCACCTGCAGGCTCATCTTCCAGCTCACCCGTTGGGTAGTCTGGTTCTCTTGCTTTACCTTGCCACCTGCAGGCACTTGACAAGGGTTGATGTCGAAACGACTGATGCTTAGGCACCATTCCAATCGCTGCAACATACACAAACATGCCATTCTTATGTTTCAACGGTGCATCTACATTCTCATTCATGTGGCTGGCGCTCCCTCATCCTGTCAACAATGAGAGTCATGTCTTTTGCCTGTGACAATTTCTGCAGATTATTGCATTGGCCCTCAGCGAGTCCCTGACAGGTGTCAAGAGTCGGGTGCGCTGTCGTATGCCAATGACAGGTGGGGAAGACACAGGGAGCTCAGCGTAGGCAGCTTTGTGGATGAAGCCCAAACGAACTGAGTAATTCATGAGCGTGCACAGTCTCTTTTGGTAGATTCAAGCTCAATTGCGGTTTGGGCAGTGAGGAGGCACATCCCTCAGGGAGGGATCCTCCGTGGGAGGTTGTGCAATTAGAGTATGATAGCCAAATAGTGCACGCGGTCCATGTCCTGGCCGGTGCTGAACTCCTATTGCCCTGCCACTCAGTAGCACTCAATGCCAGCCCAAAAACGTGTGCAGGTAACATACTGGCTTGCAACATGCAGGCAGCCCCCTGTTACACGGACAAGATGATGTTAAATAGTCAGAGAACTGCCACAGCCTGCTGCGCATTGCCTTGCAAATGAGTGGCCAAAGCTTGGCCAAAATTCGTCCACTATTACATTAGAGTGGAATCTCCAGCTCTGGAATTGCAACTTTAGATTGGTGGCCGTTTCGTATGCTGCCTTCATGGGTGGTGACAGAAGCTTGGGGGTACTGTGTCTCAAGAACCTGTTGTAATGTGAAATTAAACAGCTGGCGCGAATTGCAATCCATGGACCTCTGCGACCCTTCACTCCCAGCCATGCACACATCCGAGCTTCCATCGGATATGCACCCACCCGGATATCCAGCTGAGCGTAGACGAGCTTGGCTCCAAGCTTGTGTCAGGAATTCTCTTCGAGCTTGCCTCTGTGGTTGCTTTTTGGCTGCCATTTTCTGTGGCAGCTGCCTGAGGCGCTACACTCTCACTGTTGGCCTTGCGGTCAGCCTGCAACAGCGATTTCAAAAGCCGAACGCGCCACTCGTCCATCGTGGGCATCATGGCTTGAGTCATATTGTTCAAATCTGCAGCAACCTGCACATTCGCCACCATTTTCAGTGTTAGAACACTGCACCACATGCAGAACAACATGATCAAGGCACAATCATGCAAGGACAAACCACAGTATGTATCTGCCCAAGAAACACACAAGTTTCACAACCAACAAACGTGCATACAGCAAGTACACAATGATGCCAAATACTTCCTCCGACCCAAATTAATTGTCGTCTATTTAAAAGGCAAAGTTCATTACAAGGACGGCACCAAAATTACAAACAAAGTCAAAATCAAAAAGATTGGGTCCCCAAATCCGTAACCACCAACTTTCAAAAAGAAAAAGTGGCCCCTTGGAGCGTTCGACAAAAGGCAAATTTGGGTCATTTTCAAGCTCAAATATCAAGGTTTGCTAGGTGCAAAGACCCTTGATACAAAGTACTGCCAAATCCTCAAAAACTTAATGGATTGACTTGAGATTTTAATAACATACTCCAAACTCACAAGCACAACTTTGATTGAAATTTCATTGAAAACTGATGGAGAAATAATGTCCAAAAGTCATAGGCAACAATTAATCCGGGACAAAGGAAGTAGCAATTAAACCAGGTCTATTATCTACTTCATTCGCTACGTCCACCAAGCATCCAGTGACAAGTGGCAGTTGTGAGTGGCAAGGACGCACCCATAAACTCACCTTGGCAATGCCGTTCATCGTTTGTTTTGTGATTGCCTCCATTGCTGCCTGGCCTTCAGCCTCCATTGCCTCAAGATCAATCGTTGAGGTCACCATCAACCCTTCTTTCGTATCTGGCTCAGAGTCCTGCTGCCCCTCACCCAGATTTTCCCCCTTGTCTTTGCCAGTTGATGGACGCCGCTTTCTTCTCCTCTTTGTCGATCGACGCGATGAGAAACCCCCACTCAGCATGTTCAGACTTTGCCCCAGGTCTTCAAATTCTCTGGCCAGCCAAAGAAGTCACAGACTCACAGGCTCACAGGCCCCTAATATTAACTCGGTCGAGCTGCATCGCGCGGATTTTCATCGACACACACCACGTCCATCCAGAAAGAAGGGAGTTCATCATAAGGTTGTACACGTACGTTCAGTCATCCAATGCCCACCTGCTTGCATGCTCCAGAGCCTTGAGGGTCGGTGGAAGGTCTTCCTCAAACACAATGGCCGCCTGCTCCAGCTCCTCTGCAGCTATCTCGAGTTTAACTGCAGCCTTCTCAGAGGCCTTGCATGCGCCATCAACAGACTGCACACACACACACATGCACACAGTCATGTGGTCATAGACAACTGCTCATATCTGTTTTCAGCCCCCTTTTGGAACAACCTGTCGACGAGCGTATCCATTACAGCTATGAACCCATTGAATGACAGGTCTATTTCAACACTGCTCAGAGAGCCTTTCAACATCTCGACCTGTAAAGTGTATAGAGAAACATGAGGCTCAAGAGATTGCAGGAAGGCAGACGGCCTTCCTGCTGAATCCCAGAATTCACGCTGCACTGCAATTCCAGTCCAGCTGGCAGCAAAAAAGTGCCAGTGCGATGGCTTGGAATCACACCCAACTTTACTGCACAATGCTCCAATGGCCAAAAATCAGCTAGCAACTAAGATGACAAGGTTGCAAATATGAACAAAGTGCACTGCATCTATCTACCACTATGAGGTCAACTTTCTCTGGCTGGAGTGGCTCCTGTATTCCATGCTGCCACATCCACATGCCCATGGTTGCTCTTGCAGGCTGGGCTCAACCAAAGCAGGTATGGAGAGGACTTTGTCAAGAGCGGAAAGTAGCTTCCAGGCAACAAAAGGACAGACGGTCACTGGCTCCCAGCAATATTGCTGTTGATATCCAGCAATGCAGCCCACGCACAACCACATCAACCAATACTATCAGAATTAAAACTGAAGAAGCAACACTGCTTCCACTTTTAATGAGCTTCTGGTAGCAATCCAAACACCAATGGCTGCCACAATGGTCGCCCTGCATTTTCCAGAAAGCAATGGATTACAATCTGTAGGAGATGGTGGGACAAAAACAGAAAAACAAGCTGTTGAGAATCTCCATCAAATGATGCAGCAATAGAACAGCCATGCTGCATACTTGTGAATGACGCTTGCGAAGACTTTGCTGCACTTGCCTTCAGGATGGGACTAACAGACACAATGAACGCCACAGCCAGGCTGGAGACAGCTGCTATGCCTGTGAAGGTCACCACGTAGAGAGACCACATCCAACCACCTGCCCAGTTGCCACACTCTTGGCACTTTTCCGTGGGATTCAAGGGAGGCGGTCCCACCGGAACTGACTGGAAAGTCTGCATCCCTTCATTGTGTGATTTTTGTACACAACAGGCGGTTTTTCTGGCACTGGCATACAAGAAAGCAAAGTAAGCCTTACACAATTCAACTTTTGGCACAGCTCCCAGCTGAAACACACAATAGCAAGATGGCCAAGAGCTACACAACACATCGAAATCTATACTAGGCAAGGCTGCAAGTCAGCACCTGAAAGAGGGGAGAAGAGGGGTGACACATTGGCAACAATACACAGCAGCCGATACTAAGTACCACACACCAACCGGTCTTCAGCAAATCTGTGACACTGGGGTTTGCAAAATGGAAAAGGCAGAGCCATCCCCTGCCTGGTGACCACGTGTCGCAAGCACTCAGCCAAGGTGCAGGCCAGAGAGTGTTGTAGCTGCAGGGGCACAGTAAAATTTGCAGCATGAGCTGGAATGCACATGGTTTTCGTTCATGGACACATTCAAGATGGGCACTGGGGAACAAACCATTGTTTGGCGTTCAGCAGGTTGGGAAACGACCCACAGGCATCTGCCCAAGTGGCATCTCCAGACTTATGCCAACGAAGGCACCCATGAACCTTCTGGATGCCCACAAGCCATTCTTCGTTCACCTTATGAAGCCATGACAGCCTTGATGCAATATAAACCCCAACTGGTACCCTTGTGCCAAGGACAGTCGACTGATCATGCCTTCTCAGTGCACTGCCCACAGCCATTGGGCAGCACATTGCCTCAAATACATTAGCAGGGCGCACTGCAGCAACAAGGTAGCGAGATGCAGTTTCTTTGATGTTTGTTGAGCACCGCTGGTGGTTGCTTTTAAGATGCCTTGTCAACTTGCTGTTAAACTTGCCTCTGATGCCCAGTTGCATGCACAAGCGAAAAGAGGCAGGGCACCAACTGTGTTCCAATGTGCGTCGTGGCCGTGTTCGCCTTGGCCTCGTTCAGTTTCTAGACTCAGAGCCGGCTCCACGCTGACCACAATGATCCCATGGCAGCTGTGCATCGCACTCGACGGCAGCAATCGGTTGCAATGGGGGCTGGTGCGCACCAGCCAGAAATCGACTGGGCAACAACCGAAACAAAGGACCGAAAAGAAAACACGGCTCTCGAAAACGGTCGGATGAGCGACGCTTTCGGAGCGGTTTCCGCCCGCATCAATCACGCCAATCACTCCAGCAGACGGCGGCCATGGATGGGCGCGGGCGGACCGACGGCCGGTCGCATTGCGGGTCGTCAGATGCCTGAAGGCGCTGCCGCGCGGCACCGGGGCCCACTCGCACCATTTGTGGAAGACGGCCAAGTCAACTCCGCGCGGCGTGAAGCAGGCGACGGGCTTGGCGGCACCCATGGCGACCTTGGGGCCCGCAAGCGACGGGCCGCCCAGGCACCAGCGGCCGGTGGTCGACGGCTTGTGCATGGCGGCGGCGCAATAGCAACTCCCGGCTGTGAGCCTTGGCAAAAAGCGGGAGCTCCTCGCGCCTGGGGCCGTGCTGCGCGGAGGCGAGTGCACGTTTTGCGCCCCGACCACGGGTCGACAGCCGCAAAAAGGTTGCGAGCAAAGGTGTCGACGTGGATCACGTGCACTCGAAAGGAGAGCCATTTTTTTTTGGCAGTTCTTTTTTGGCAAGTGCTCAAATGGTACTGTTGTGGCGCCATTGGCGAACTTGTGCGCGTCGTACTGGAGGCCAGGGCCTGTGGGCGGGGGTGTCGTCGGTGTCCAGGGTTGGAAGTCGGCCATGTTGGGCAGCCACCTGTGGGCACTGCCCTGCTGCGCCGGCACTGCGAAGGTCGGGGCGATGAACGGCGGGAGGGTCTGTGCTGGGGTGGAAGTGCAGGTGTGGGGGCATGTGCGCATGTGCTGAGTTGCTTAGGGCCCGCGGGCCGCCTTTGCCGAAATGTGACAGAGCACTGCGCTCATGGCGTTCCCCTTCAGGGATCCTCCTCCCGGGATGGCGCGAAGAAGCTGTGGGGCGGTCGCTTTACAGGCGCCACAGACCCACTCATGGACAAGTTCAACGAGTCGATTTCGTTCGACAAGAGGATGTGGGCTGAAGACGTGAAGGTGCGTTCATTCCCTCCAAGCGCTGCATGGATATCAGTTGCAGTTGCATTTGCGGTCACATGGGCAACCTTTTCCCAATGTTCCAGGATATTGCCGCAGGGAAACACTGCCCTTACAACTGCAAGAGCAGCCCTTCCCAGTGGCAGCAGTGTGAACATTTGGGAACAATGCTGCGAAAATGTAGTGCTGCTTTGCAAAGCGATGTTTGACTGCGATGTGTCTTTTAATCCTTGTTGAACCCAAGCTGCGTCTGTTCGATGAGCAATAAGAGTGCAAAAACTTACTGTGAAAATATGTTCCACTTGTGCTCACCGTATCTGCAGCAGAGGTTCAGATGGTGATATTTAACTTATCTCTGCATTTGTCTGCTTGAGAGAAACTGGAGGGAGAAAAATGGTGCAGTAAGTGCGTTCTCACACACATGGAGAAAGTAGGTGGTCCTGTCCTGTGTGGCTACTAAAGATACAATACTTTGGGTTGGATTACGATGGTCCACAGTGACAAGGCATTGAGGCCAGTAACAGTACTATTTCACCCATTGCCCCATTTATATGTTTCCTTACTGCCCAGCATACAACAGCACAACTCCAAAGAACTGGAGCACTGTGTGTGGTGCACTCAGAATTCTGCGCAGAGGATGTAAATTGAAGATTAATGGTGCACATGCATCAAGGGCATGTGTAGAATAAACACCTGTGTTTGCCAAGCTGGCTGCATCGTGCAGTAAGAATTCTAGTTTGGTTCTCAACTGCAACTCCATCCTGCTGCAGAGTGCTGTGCAGCATTGGCAAATACTCATTGCTCAATCACCCACATGGTGTTTGACAAATCTGCAACTTAAGTTGTGAATGGAGGTACTCAGCATTGGTCCCAAGGCTTGGATTTTTTGTGCCCATCAATCGCGCAAGGTGGAAAGACTTTGTTTACCAGGGCTATTCTGACAATTGTAGCCACAGAATATAACCATTGTCCACATGTTGTCTGTGGTTCAAGAGCATTGCAATCCAGATTCTGTGCTGTTGGGCCACCATACAGTGGGGTGCAGGCAGAATGTATGTGTACAAAATGTACCTGTAAGGGTGAGTGTATGCATATATGTAGCAGTCTTTTGAAAGCTCCAAACCCATTGTTGAAGGACACACCTGGTGTGAGGAAGCACAGCAGACACCTCGGTGATGGTGATGGACAGTGGTGTATTGTCGCCTCCGGTTCAAACCTATGCTCAGGAGCCCTGTTGTGATGTGCATGTCCCATGTTTTACAGGCCAATCCTACCCTGTGCTCTGTGGGGAAAAGGAACAAACGTTTGCGGGTGTGAACAGCACCTGCCATCGCCCAGCATATCCAAGCAAAGTGAACTGACCATGATTTGATGAATGTGGTAGATGTGGCTTTTGCCCTTGGCTCTCTGGCGATTGTCAAGGGCTCTTGTATTCTGGACTGTGGGTTGTGAGTTGCAGGCTTGTGGCCACTGGCACAGATGGCACTCTGAATGGTTGACAGCAATTTGGTGATGATCGTTGACTTAGGGAAGCCAGGCATATGCGAAAGCCTTGATCAGGGCAGGCATACTTACTGATGCTGAAGGTGAAGTGATCGTCGCTGGCCTAGAGAAGGTGAGGGGAACACATACTCAATGAGGCTCACTTCTGAAGTGCAAAGCAAGGGCATCCCACTGTTGACAAGATCAGACCACAGTTGTGACCGCTTCTACCTTCAACCAGTAGCCTCCCTTTGTTTCAAAGTCCACAATATAGTATGCTCAGCTCTTGCCATGTGTCTGTCCAGCATTGGTGACACCTGAAAGGCCCACACACCAGCGGGCTCTGGATTAGAAAGCCGCAGTTGTCTCTCTTTGTGATTTGCAAGTTGTCTAAACTGTGGTTTATCCCCAATGGCAGATACATCTGGACACAATTGGTATTTGTGATGCCGTGTTGGTCAGTTTCATATCTTGTCTCTACATCGTGTTCTCAACAAATTGTTTGGCAGCGTCAACAGAGTTAGCTAAGAATGTCGTTGTCTTTTAATGGGCGATTCCGGTGTCCCTTCACTTGTCAAGGAATTCTCTCTATGTGCATCGAATGCCAATTTTCGGGCTTGACTGTCTGCATTTTGCGATTTGATGGGCACTTACTGTCCAGGTAGGTAGCGAGTGGCAGGCCGGAGTCTTTGAGATTATGCCAGGGGATGAAGACATACACACAGCCAATGAACGGAGGTTAACAGAGCTCATAGGGCCTGTAGGAGGGAAGCTGCACACTGGACGCAGCAGAAATGACCAGGTGGGGAAACACTGCCAGACACCAGCTTCCCATCTATTCTCCTCACAAACCTGAGAGGTGATCCTGCTGCTTGTGGGGCAGACAAAGCACTAGTGACAGCATATGATATCGCCGCATGTGGCACCCATGTGCCTCCTTGGCATGCAACCACCAAGTGTGGTACATTGGGCAGGTATTTGTTTCCTCCACTGCGATGAATCCCGCCGATTTGTGAAGAGCGATGCCTCCGGTGCAGGTGGCTACAGATACACGTCTTTGGCTGTTAGGACAGCAGCAGGACATTAGGGCTCTTCTCCAGGGGCTTCTGCAAGCAGCATGCGACAGGGCAGAGCAGGAAATTGATATTCTGATGCCAGGTTGGTTGCCGTACCATTTTCTGTTTTTTGTGTCAGCTGTTGCTGACAGTTTGGGTGCACAAGGATGAAACTCATTCCAGCCAGACAGGGCAAATACCCCCTATGTAACCCTGGAGCATTGTATGATGCTAAAGAGATGAAGAATTGATTAGTGATTTGTGTACAATGCCGAATTTGAGTCCACCAGGATGTCCTTTCTGTATGGACATGAGATTGCACACAGAAACGACCGTGATGTCTCAATGGGCCACTGGAATATTGTGGCATTCTTTTATCTTTACCCTCAGGTTGTATGTTTATCCTGAGTAACCCTATCCTCGGTTTCTATTCTGTTGCTCACCTCAGCAGGTGTGCAGCATCCAGCACTGTTTCATTGGAGTAAGGACACCCTTGCCTTGGCCCACAGGTTTCACACATCTCCAGTCTGCACAGGTGGTGCGTTGGAGCCATTGGCTCATGTCACACGCAGCCGCCTGGCAACGCGATGATGAAAGGATGAGGGACCTGCTGCCACGGGCTGCAAGGCTTCCCCTGGGGTCTGGCGCGATCGCAGGGAACCCCTTCTCAGTGGACAGGACCTTCCTGGCACAAGAACTGGGCTTTGTGGGTGGCGTGTGCCCTAACTCCATGGATGCTGTCAGCGACAGGGACTACGTTTGTGAGATGCTGTTCGTTGCAGCCATGGTGCTGTTGCACCTGAGCCGTTTTGCAGAGGACCTCATCATCTACAGCAGCGCACCATTTGGATTTGTGCAGTGCAGCGATGCATATACAACAGGCTCCAGCCTGATGCCACAGAAGAAGAATCCAGATGCACTGGAGCTTCTGAGGTGACAGAATATCCTTGTGATTGCATCTGCCGATCATCAATGTAACAAAGCTTTTGGACCTGGAAGACGATGATAGGCCCGTATTTCCATCTACATATTGTCGTCCATGGTGTTTGCTCCTGTCCATGCACTCCAAGTTTATGGATCGTGTGATGGAGTCCATGTGGGTTGGGGACACAGGCACCAGAGTTGGTATCGGTTTGGACATTGCACAATTGGGTCTGAGGTTTGCACTCACAGTTATTCCTCAGCGTAAGGGTTTTGTTCACCAATCCTTCCAAAAGGATCTGGTCCTGTGCGGAGATTTGCAGGCTGAACACTGGCTCCCCTCCAGTATTGTCCTATCACTTTGGTGGCCCACTCACTGGAAGTTGCTTGGCCACTGTGCTTTTTAACACCGCTAAACTATGGCACTGGCACATTTGCCCAAATAGATGCTGCCTTGCAACCACTCTTGGTATTGGGTATTGACATTTGGTATCACAGCAATGTCATGTTGTGTGAACGAAGTAGACGTATGGTTGATGGTTTTGCCCATGTTGCTCTCCAGCATAAGCCCACCACCCAGCCGAGTGGGCCAGCCATTTTCCAACCAATCTGTTGCAAATGTTGCTTACACAATATTGTGTATTGCATCAGGGCATCATTCCCCTTCGAACTGGCCACATTGCCTCTGTTCATGGAGTGTGCTTTGAACCTGAAACGATGCACTTTGTTGAATACTGCAAAATGTCATCCATTTGCCATCATGAACTGCAAATGCTGATGGTGGATACAGCCACTAGTTGCAAGGGGCTTTTGTTCTGACACCTGGCCAGCATTTCTTGGCACAGAGTGAAATTCCTCACATTGTTCACTTCCTGTTTCCCCAGAGGCAAGGCGGGCCGCATCCAGGGCCACCTGGCAGGCCTGTTATGCATCCTTAAGGGCACACCCACCACTTACAACAAGGACTTCCAGGAGTCCTGGGAGATGCTTTTTGATGCTGTGGACACTACGAAGGACTGTCTGAGCATCGCAACTGGAGTTTTGTCCACTTTGTCTGTTTATCCTGACAAGATGACCAATGGTGGGTAACAGAAGCAGCCACAGATGTGACAGCACACCATCTGAACAGTGCCTCTAGCTGTCATAGCTTTAGAATGTGGGCAAGGAATAAAGTTAAAACTCATGAACAGCTATCGTGCATGACAGCTGTTTATGAGTTTTCAATTCCATTCAATGGTCAGAGAAATGCTGGGCTTCGCTTCAAAGAGATGCAATCGTAAATCTGGTGATTGGTACAATATTATCTGTTCTCTTTGACTGTTGGCGCTTCTGGGGTGCATGGGTGGTCACAGACCTGTTTGTAGCTAGGGGTCTTTGAGGAAGAACCTGAAATGGTCTGTTGCTCAAGAACAACCTTTGTGTGCGTTTGCTTGTTGCACATAGGGCAATCAGACATCAAAGTGAAAACGTGGTGCACAACTTTGCAAGTTCAAGAATGTGGCGACAATTCAGTCATCAATGAAACATTTCAGGCATCCAGAGCCAGAGGCCCTCAGTGTGCCAATGAAAGAAGCCCAACAACTTGTTCTGACGTTAGTGTTTCTTTGCCACTGCATGTCAGGATTGTCAGGGGACATGCTTGCCACCGACCTTGCTGAGTACCTGGTGCGAAAAGGTGTGCCCTTTAGAGACACGCACCACATTGCCGGGGAGGCTGTGCGGTTAGCTGAGGACCGAGGCATCCCTCTCAATGAACTGACGGCTGACGACCTCCGAGGCATCCACCCCATGTTTGGGCCGGATGTCAGCGGCGTGTGGAGCTATGAGCGCTCGACAGATCTGCGGGACACTGAAGGGGGTGCCAGCAAACGATCCGTCTTGGAACAGATATCGAAACTCCGGCAGTACTTGAGTCACACTAGCACAGGGGGGGAGTTGTGAGCATTGTAGAAGGTGGCAGCTGTGCTGTGAACAGTGCGTACTTTGGAAACCCAACTGTTATATGATGGCTGCATCCGTGCTCATTTCAGAGCTAGCGGCAGTGGCATGCGAAGGGGTCGAACTACAGAAATTTCGAATGCGATCCTGGGCGGGTAGTTGAATGGTGGCTGATATCTAGTTGAATATGGCTGGTGAGTTTGCGTGTTATGTGCCCACAGTCAAAGAGTCTCAGATTCACTGGGCGCGATTTCTACTATCAGCTTTCCCCGGCCCGTGACAGCAAACTTTTGTGGCAAAGCCAATTCTTCGGTTACTGCTTGTACTGTGCTGTCTCAACGGCTTCTCTCCTGGCCAGAAAGAGCTTTGCTTGCCTGAAAATTGTAGACCACGTGCCTTTTATAAGAGAGCACGCAAACGTTGCAACACTTTGTGGCATACAGGACGTTGATCCGCAGGCAATGCACCATACAATACGCACCCTTCCTGAGCAAGCATGTTTTGAGACTATTTTCTACACCTTTGAGAGTGAGTCGCCCTGTTATAGGTAAGATTTGCTGCACTTCAAGGGAAACAAGTAATGCAAAGCGCAGCCCCTCCCAAGCAAGTGTGTGCGATACCATTCCATACTGTGAAAATATGATGTAGACCAAGATTGACCTTATCGGAAGTGGACAGTCAGTTAAGCTGAACGCAAAACTAACCGGTATTTCATTAGCCCTCTGCAATAGAGGCGTGACGCCAGGGCCTTTTGCTCTGAATCACAGAAACAATAAAGCAGCAACGGTACAGAGATATGCGGAGCAAAAATTTGGAAAACAGAGGCAACGCTGGGAGCTTCCGACTTGTATTCCAATGCAAAGTAGTGCGCCTGTGCATGCAATTGCATCAGAGAACTCAAAAGTGGCCGTCTGACATGGCAGCCACCCAGGCGAAAATCCACAAAGCGCCAAGCCTTCGCCTGTCCCGCGTTCTGGCTCGATAGGACATGCGTCGAAGGGGACGAACCTGGGGACGTACGGCGCCCCTGCAAACACGTCGCCAGCGATTCCGCTATGGAAAATCCGGCTCAAACGGGCCTCCGGGCTTGCACGTCCGGGCTCGCGCAGAAATCCAGGCCTTGAGTGAGAAACACGCGGAAGGCCGCTGCTATTCTCACAGAGTCGCTTGGAAACCCATGCACTCGAACGGCGAAAATGCAATGGGCGCGATTTGTCGATATCCGAGCACAGGAGGCGTCAAACTCTTGATCGCAAAGCCGTTCTGGTCGGGCTGTGCGCCACGGCCTGTGTGCATGGGTCGCACACGTCGAGACTGTCAACAGGGTGCTTACAACTTTACGAACTGTGGTCCGTCCAGTTCAGCCCCTCCGACACTGGGCACAGCAGCATGCGGCCTGCGGCCCCAACACAGCACGGCAGCCATTCGCAAATACCGTAGCCACGTCAGAAAGGGCAGCACAACCCAATTTCATACAATTTCTATCAGGCCACGTTCAAGCATGGCAGTACACATCTTTCTCACTCTCCTTGCGCCTCATACTCTACTGTTCGTATCGCATTGCAGCATGCTCTTCTAATCCTCGCATAACCCTCTTGCAATGCTCAGGTGGCCATTGCTTCATTCCCTCGTCAACTTTTTGGCACACGTGCAGTACCACAATGGAATCTGTGCCGCGACCAGACAGATTTGCAGGAATATTCGCTCACACCTACGGCTCCGCCTGCCCTTTTCCCGCACTAACAACGGTGTGACGTCACAGCCATGCCAAAAATTCAGCCCAGTGATATTTCTTTATCGAATTAAAGGACTGATACACTCACTCAGCGCATCAGCAACAAAAGTCCGTAATTTTCATGACCAAATTGATAACCAGATTCCTGATGTTTCCATGCGTGGCAGGTCACATCCCTATTGAGCTGTCAAGCGTCACAGAACGCGTAAAATGCATCTGCCTGAGGCAGAAGAATTGGAAAGAAATGACATCACACCTCGCCCTAGCCTACTGCGAATAAGTCGCTCATCTATCAGCCAGAAAATCCACGTCAGATTTGACGTTTTGGCGCACAACCGTCACTGAGAAGTCAAAATTATTTCCAGCAAGCATCTTGAGAATTCCTTAATCAATTAGAGCAGGACTTCAAATCTCCGATTCGCCAATGTATTCAACGTAGGCTCGCAGCAGTTTCCACAAATGTCCAGTCGCACAATGACGTTAATCACATAGATTGACCGTCATCTTGCTTGAAACTTGGTAGCACAGTCATCAATTGCGTAGATCGCTTTGCAGACGTTGTAGATTTGCTGCATTGTTGCCAATATGCATCAGCACCTTGGGTCAGTTCCAATTGACCACCTTTAATGAAAAGCTCGGCCGACGTTGGCAAAATCTTCCCGTCTGGGAAGGCGTTTGAGACGCACAATATCAGTCTCACTGTATCAGCCCTGCAGCGTCTCACTGGATGCCCACGTTCGCTGCCCTGTCTGACACTGTGAGTAATCAGGTAGCGGAACATCATTTGGCCCCCCGAATCCCGTCACTTGCCCCCGTGAGACCTTTGCTGCGTTGTGCCACCACCAGCGCTGGTGCCTCTCGCCGTTTGCGTGTTCCGCAAGCTGCAAACCCGTGCAGCCTTCAAGGCCTCCGTCCAGCCAGTGCATTCATCGGCGAAGATTCGCCACGAGTCGCAGCCATCACCGGTCCCACCGATTGCCATCGGTGATCGCAGCCCCTGGATCCCGATTGCTGGTGCGACACGCAATGCAGTGACCGATCGGTGCATACCCATCCTTCCAGCAGTGCTGCCTTGTCGAAAGCAGTTTCCGAGTGAGGACGCAGCTTCCCGAGCCAAGCGTGCACGGCCAAATGGGTGGCGCACAGAGCCCAGTGCGTCACATCACTTCCTGGGATGCAGGACCTTCCTTGGCGTCAGTATCGTGTCCCGTGTCTTGGTAGAATTGGGCGCGCATCGAGATACCCATACAGCTTGCCGCATTGCTGTCTCCACGTTCTCCTTTTATGTTGAAGTTCGTACCTTTGTAGGATACTAGGCCCTTTTTCCACTTTTGTGGATTTCCGTCAATTCCCAGTCACCTTTTGAGGCTCGCGGGTCGCCAGCTTGCCATAAATTTCATATCATACATTGGCGACCCAAACAAGAACCATCTAGGCTAGGCTCCTCCTGCACTGGGCATGAGTGCATGTCCGCCTTGCTCGTGAGCAAAGCTGTTGATTGAAAATGGGGCGACGTAGTTTCTGCAAGCAGGATGGGGCTGCCATGTGTGGCGACAGCACTGCCATTTGCGTGCCATTGGGTGTGCATTCGGTATGTGTTCCTTTGGTTGTCCCTTGCCCCTGAGCAGTTGCAGAGCACGACGAGGGGATCGAAATCTGGGATGTCCCACCATTTCCATGCATTTCGCTGGCGATTCGGCCACAGAATCCGGGGGCAAATGACCCGCGTGCAGTGGACGGTCATGCGAAAACAATCTAAGGGTTCTGGTCAAGAGCACCGTCCAAAAGCGCACAAATTCGCACAGATTCACTCCCGGCAACTCGAACTATGAGAATGCCATGGGTACGCCCTGCCCAAGTCCGAACTTTGGGGACTTCCAACGGTTGGCGTTGAGACCAGACTAAATGGGCAACACGCCACAATCTGCACAGGCCCCTGTGCGTATGGATTTGCATGTAAAGGCCTCACGCAGAGAAAACGTGGACAGCGCGCTCACAGCTTCGGAAACTAGGGTTCTCACGGCTGCGTTTCATTTTGGAACGGGCAGCGCAAATTTGAAGCGCCACACAAGTCACAGCAGCCACCCAAAATAGCCCCACCTAAGCTCGTGCAAGTCGACACATCAAATGTTATTTGATCTGCAAAAAAAAACTATCACCATTGGGAGTCCACCTCAGTTCCCTCCCAGCCCGTCCTATCACCTAACAGGTGTCCCATTTGCAATTAACAAACAGCCTCCCACACAATACCTGTGCAAATATCGTATCGACCATGCACAATACACGGCTCAGCACACGAAGAAATGTCATACCAACTCTCCACCCTTGGTCCATTACGTTCCGAGAATACCGGTCATATTCAAATGACTGCCATGATGGCAGTGCCATCATGGCAATTCAAGTGACATGATGTCACTCACCAAGGGCACACATGACCTTTCTCTTGAGAAAGGTCATGGAGGTCTCTATGCCAGCACATGGCGAAACAAATGCCACCTTCCTTGCTCTTCCATGTCAACAGGCCGGATCTCTATTTGGCTGTCAACTCCCATGAAAAGCATGCAAACCACACTGAATTAAAAGCTGGAAAGGAGATGACATCGCATCCCTATGCAGGTCACCCTGAATTAGTTGCTCATTATTTTGGCTTGATGGCTTTTGTCAAGATTGGCGCCTGTGCTCACAGCAGTCACTGTGGAGTCAAACACACATCACATTGACATCCTGACTCATTTGCGACCGATAAGCTTAGGAATCAAGCCCTGGGGTTGCATTTGAAATCAGTCCATGGCACAGCTGCATGCATGGTTTTGTCGGTCAGGCACATGGCATAAGCGGCCATTGGTGACAATCGTTGTCCCCTGGAGTCGATGGCTAGGTCCCTAATTTTGGAACCCCGTCTGCCATGCCCCAACCCCACCGCCAGTCCCATGGTGTCACGTGGCCAGCCCTATGCGAGCATGCCCATTGCTCCGCTCTACTGAGCAGAATTGCCTGGCAATGGTTCTGCATACTTGGGTTGTGTGCTTTGCAGCTTCACGTTGTGTCCGTTCCTGCCATATGAGCCGGCAAGTTGAAGTGTCGCCCCTAACCTATTATGCATTTCAACAGTGCACAACCTCTTGCACGCTGCATGTTAGAGTGGTGTGTCGCTGTCCTTTACATCTTCATTGGGCGCAGTGATGCAATCTCCGTTCCCTTGGTGTTTCATCGACAGCATGTCCTTCATCATTCTGACTCATTGATAGTGGACTTTCGCAGCTTATAC